GCCAGGGAGAGCAGCTGGGACACTGGGAGATGGCCAAGCAGGAAACCTTAATGATGTGCTGTGCCCATGGACTTCTGCCTGTAGCTGCCACTCCTGTGTTTTTAAACACTTAATCCTGCTGAGGACCATATGCATGTCTCTGTCTTTAGTGGGTTTATAAACTCATTTTCCTGGAGAAACCTCTACAGCAACTATGTTGGAGTTGGACAGCCTTGCAGCTAAGCCATGCCTGGATTTCATGTGTGCTAATGGGAAAAGGCTTCTCAGCTGAAGCTGTCTCACTTGGACTCCCAACAGAAGTTGACAGCAGAAGTCACAGCTGGAGATGGAGGTGCCAGATGCTGCCCTGGGGGCAGGGCATGAGCTGAGATGTCAAAGGGGTGTCTGTCTCAAAAATATGGTCCAGTGCTCATGGACTTGTGCCTGGCAGAAAGGATTAAAGAGGAACACACCCTGTTTCCTTTGGCATTGGTAGTTTTGCTGGTGTGTGTTCTTGGCTTGTAAAGGGCTCTCAGATCTTCAGGGAGCTGGGCTTTGCCCACCTAGTGGGGATTGAGCATGGAATCTGGAAGTGCTGTAATGTTTGTCAGCTTTAGCAGCTACCTGTCTGCTCCTGGTGGAGCTTGCCATAGGAATGGCGGGAGGCAAGCTCCTCTGGTGTTGTCCACTTCCATCTGCACCCAAAAGTGGGATTCTTCTGAGAGTGTTGCAGGTGATTCATGCAAGAGGTACCCATCCTGCCTGTTTCAGCTGCTCTGATGCTTGGAAATGGAACAGATGATGAGTGGGCACAGTGGGCCCAGCGCAAGTTTAGTCCTTTACAGAGTCAAATCTGAGGACCGTAGTGGAGCATCTTTGTGAGGAACAGATGTGATGGAAAGCTCTCTTCCCAGTCTGTCATCACTACAGAGTGTCTGTCTTCTCTAAAGCTTACAAACAAATAACTAAAAGATTTGAATCTGACATCCTAAAGTTTTTAAAAGCCAGAAAACATCTTTTTTCATTGAAAAGGACATTTGAGGCTCTGCTTTAAAAGGTCCCAGGCTGGTGGTGCAGGCAAGGGAAGTGCTGGCCCTTGTTTACCATGGTTCCTGAGTAGCAGCCTCTTCTCCCCACTTTTCACCTTGGCCAGACCTGAAGGGGTTACGTTTTAAAATGAATAATGACTAAATTTATTCGTCATGGACAAATGATGACAGCTGTTGAGATGCTCCTGTTAGCGCTTCCCAGGGGATAAAGTCAGGCTGGCTCCTAGTGCAAGGCAGCCGAGCCAGGCACACTCAGCTCATCTTCATCCCGGATTATTTGTCCTGGCTTCCCCTCGCTAGTAGGGAATTTGCTCCCTAGAAGTGAACCCAAGTTTGCTGGGCTGAAATGGGTGTTGCTAATAAGAATTGTGCAGATCTGCAGCCATAGAGAGAGAGAGGACAGAGGCCGTGGCTGTTTAAATCCACGTGTGAAGACAGCATGCTTAATGAATCCGAGGGGCAATGATTGATTATGTTGTGGACTGAAAGCCGCGGCGCTCCGTGAAGCACTCTTACATCTGGGCACGCTATGGAAAATATGAAGGAATGTTGAGGAAGCTTATTTGCAGAAGGATATGTACTTGTAAGCAATTTTCTCTTCTTCTTAAATAATGTAAAGGAATTGAAAAACGTAAAGCAGATTGTATTCTCTCTGTCTCTGAGACAGCAGAGTGGCGAGCAGACAAAGGCCTCTTTTATGAGGGCATGTCTTTGACAGAGAGTACTGTAAGGTCCTTATAAAAGAGCACTGGGGGTGTCTTGGGATGGGAGAATGTCAATGGTTATTTAATGTTAGAGTGGGGCACTGATCCCGCTTCAGTGCACCTCAGCAGGTGTCCTGAGAGTTACACCCATGCTGAATTTGCCATTTGCAGATATGATGAAAAATATGATCCTGGTTCAAATTATTATTATGAGCAGGAATCAATGGGTGGCAAAGAAAAAAAAGGGTTTGTAACAATAATGTATAGTAGCTTGGTTTTCTGTTCTTTTCTGTACTCCTTGTCCAGGTTCCTTTCTGTTCTTTGTTTCTCTTTCTGTTCTGCACACGTGCTCTGGCAGACTTGATGTGCAGTTCTGAACGTGGTGCTGTCATTCTGCACTGCTCAGATGAGAAAATGCTGTTGGGTTGTTGAAGGGGTTTTCTGGTTTGATAAATATGTAATGCTTAGTTTACAGACTTAATGAGCAGGAAGATGCGATTGCAATCCAGTCATCCCCAGAACTGTGGGTGGGCTGGTTTGATTTTTGGAGTGTTGTGTTTTTTGCTAATGCTCAGAAAAGCCTGTTTTAGAAAGAAATTATAGTCTTATTTAGTTGCTAAAATACTACAGGAGTGCAATGCCTTTAATATCTGGATTTTTTTTAGTTTTGATTTATTATCTGAAATAGGAAACCACACCCTCTTCTCCCTTCAGCGGGCTGAGGCTTTGAAAATGCATATAGAAGAGGAAGTGAGTTAACTAAGGCTGCATCCAGATAGTCTGAAATGCAGCTGATGGAGAATTTTACTACCTGATGGAAGAGGCTATGAACTAGTAAAAGTACCTTTTGTTTCAAATATGACTGACTTTCTCCTGGCTGTTAATACACACATGTCAAATAATAGTTTATTAAATATTTATATAGGAGCTTTTGAAACAATTGCACCTGGAACAAGTTTTGCTTGAAGTTTTTTGATTGAATGGCTGTCCAAGTCTTTCTGAATCACTTAAACCTTGTCCTAGAGGCTTCAGAGATTACACATTTTAAAGCCTATTTTGATCTGCCCTGACCTTGGTGCAACTCACACCAAGTAGTGTTTTTGAAATAATTCCTGTTTGAACTAGACTGTGTCTTTTGGGGGGAAAAAAATTCAGTTTTGCTTTTTTAAGAACTGCCTGTGGTAGAATTCACTGGGTGATGCACCTCCTAACCTCACAGAGGGTCAGCCCTGTGATTATTGCAGAAAATGAAGGGGGGCGCAAGGGGGAAGAGAGAAGAAAAAGGCAACTCAGAATTTAATTTGTTTTTAACCTCTAGCCAGTTGCCTTGTTGTATATTTTTCTATTAGGTAAGAAAAAATATTAATAAATCACACTGGAAAACTGTGTTAATAAATCTTCAGTAGCTGTGTTAACACAGAACATAATCAAGCAACTTATTAGGAATCTGGCTAGACTAAACAATCTTTTGCAGAGAATTTTCATTTAATTGAATTAAAAACATATTTTCTAATCCTTTAATCATTCTCATGATTGTTCCCTGAGCTCTTTTCAAATTAGTTTTGAATTACATGTGTCAGAACAAGACTGGTGTCAATAGGGAGATAGCACGGTCTCCATGGCTGCCTTCAGGCACCGTGTTAAAGAGACAGCCCACATCCTAATTGTGGTTTATATTCTCTTCAGCTGTGTGACCTGGAATTTATCTATTTATCTATATTCTTTTCACTTTTGCCTTGTTCACTTTTTCCTGAACAATAGTACAGTAACAGAACAGTTATTATTTTACCCCTTTCCTTTAGAGTTGTTTTTTTCCCCCTAGCTCTTTCCCATATTTCAAGACATCTTAAACATCAAAATGAAGAGATGTCCTTGTCCACCTTTTTTCACTTTTGGGATGCTTTTGTGTACCTGCTATGTCAGTATTGAGTTGTGACTGGTGTATGGCATGATGTGCACTACTGCATATCAGAAATGGGGGGGTGTAGGTTTTCACATGATAGTTCTCCTGTGTCCAGCTGCTAATAAGCCAGTGCCACTTAGGGCAGAGAAAACTGAAGGTGGTTGAGCTGAGAACAAAACAGGCTTTTCTTCCTGTTCTTTTGCCTCCCCAAGAATATGCCTGTTATCAAGTTATTTTTTTACTTTCAGAAAGCTCAGCCTGTATTAAATTTCACTCATTAGTGTCTCACTAGGAGCCTGTATTTGTTACTAGATGTTCCCAGATGCTTTCCTGAGCAGGGATGGATTAAAGCACCTGCTTGACTTTTTGCCAAGTGAAAATTGTGAAGGAAATGTTGCTAATCTGGTGGAGAGTGAGTGTGTACCTTGGGCTGCTGGAGAGGGATGGGCATGAAGCTGATCTCAAATTTTGAATGAAGTATTCCTGTGGAGATGCTGAGTGATGGGGGCTGAGCTGGCTTTCTGGCCTCAATAATTACGTGTTCCATCTATATCAGCTGCCCAACTGCTTTGTCACCTTTCAACCTAAGGCTGTTTTTTCAAGTGAATTAGCTAATCTGTGTAAAACTGCAATATAAGCAGTACTTTGTAATTGAAGTAACCTTGACTGAGAATCAAAGCGGCTGTAACTCATTTTTAGTTAATTTATGTTCACATTTGGTGGTAGAGGCTGAGGTTGGATGTACACAGAAGGTTCTGTAAGGTTTAATGCACCTTATAATTATGTTTTCATGAATTTGAGGAAACTTTTTGTATTTCTTTTAAGGAATCTCTGGTGTTAATTTAAAGAGTTAAAGGGGATTTGTAGCTCCAGATGGGTCTGTGATTAATGGTCTGTGGTTCATCAACAACATGGGTGTTACCATATGAACTTTCCTGAATGACTGTTTATCCTTGGTCTGGTGCAGGCAGTTGCTGCTGGATCTTGGATTTGCTTGTGGTTTTAGTTTCACTACAGTCTGTGTCAAAAGAGTTATTGTAGACATAAACGTGAGAGCTGCAGACTGTCAGCACCCCAAGTATTTTCTGGGGCTTGCATCTTTTTGCTGTAGATTTGAAGTTCATTCTTTTCATCTGAATGCATTTATTGAATAGTTTATAACATAGTGGCTGCAGTGGGCAAGTATTGGGTTCAGTGAGCTGGTGCTATTCCGTGGCTAACTGGATTTTAGCATGAGGACACTGCTGAGATGGGAGCAGGCAGAGCAGGCTGGAAAATGTAGCATGTTTGCCATAACATAGTCATGTTCCTTATGACATCCCTTTGCTTCATTGGTCTTAGAGCTGAATGGGTTTTTTTTGACAGATAAAATTTTTGATGATGAAGACTCCGTGGATGGGAACAGACCTTCCTCAGCCAGCTCCTCTACATCTTCAAAGGCCCCTGCAAACTCTCGCAGAGTTGGGATGGGCACTACCCGCAGGCTTGGCTCTGCACCTCTGGGCTCCAAGTCTTCAAGTAAGCCAATAGCCTGTGTAAATTGATGTGCCTGTGAAGTATTTACAGTGTTCATACTGAGCTTCTTGCAAGCACTTCCAGACTGGCCCCCAGAATCCAGTAACAAATTTTTCCTTATGCAGTCATTATGTCTTGTGTTCTCTGCATGCCACAACCAGAGTCTGGTAGGATGAATCTCCAGGCAATCTCCACATCCCCATAATTTATTTTGCATTTTGTGAGAGGTTGCACCTGTGTAGGTATGCACTGAGGGCTATAAGTAAATCATGTTGGTGCTCTAGTGTGTAGATTTTTGCCTTTGTAGTTTCAACTCTATCTGAACTGAGGCTGCTTATAGCTACATGAGCTATATAGCCACACTTCAGCCCTTGCAGTCTAAACCTGACACACTGGCTTTCTTTGGCATTTCTGGTAATGAAGGTGCAGAAAGGATACTGATCAGTCATTCTGAATGTTAGCAATTATTCTGCATGTAGCTCTAATTCTATGAGTGTCCTAGGGAAAGGGAGAAAGTTCCCTATATCAGGCAGTCTCTAATCTGATTAGTATTCCAGAGACTGTTTATCTTCCTTATCGTTCGTCTGTTTGTGCACCTGTCAGATCTCCACCTTCATCTATTATAGATGGGATTAAATCCTTTAAAATAAAGTCTCCCATATAATTAAAGTAAGTATTCCCTTTCATCTTTCAGACTGTGTCCCCTAACTGTTGAGTGACTACTGTAATGACTTCTCTAATGTGCCCTGTGTGCCTGTGAGTCAAAGGATGCCCTGAATGTCTCACCAGTGCCTGGGATTGAATTTCCCTGCCTCTGCTTTCATTACATCTGCAGCACTCCCAGGCTGCATGGGTAGTGAACTTTCTCCTGATTAAGTGCCTTGATAGCTGGTGGTTCTTAATTGATTCTCTTGTTGATAACAAGATTGAAAAGGCTTTTTCATTTGTGTGTCAGCAGCCAAAGAGGGGGCAGGTGCTGTGGATGAAGAAGACTTCATTAAGGCATTTGAAGATGTCCCAACAGTTCAGGTAAGGCGAGTTAACTGTTAAACCATGCTGTACTAAAAAGCAGAAGGTGGATATAGGATCTCATGCTAATCACTGTTAAATTGAGCTTCATTGTGATGTTGGCAAATCTTTAAGGGGAAAGCAGGTTAGAAGGTGAAGGGAGGCAGGTTTTAAATGGTGGGGTGTGCTAGTAGTTTATGTGAAACCCTCTGGGAACTGAAAGCAGTAAAGGTGACTTGTGTCTCAGGGATCACTGCTGTTGTGTGAAAACTGCATGTTTGCTGATTTAGCTGGATGGCTGAGATGCTTCATGTATCCTCTCTCCTTCACTGGAGCTTTATATTTGGGACAGCTGAAAAGCACATGTGTCTACTCATGATCTTCTGTAGGTTTTGACTAATATAGCCACTAGTAGCTGCAGAAATGCTGCTTAAAATTGTGAAACTATACTAAAATAATGCAATATGATCCTTTAATAATCTTGTGATAATTGCTATGTTTTTACTTGCAGACAATGGGTGTAAATTCTCTGCATTGTGCAAAGCCAATTGTGTCCAAGGCTAGCACATGGTGTTTAAGCATTGAGGTGCAAAGGACATAAGAATGTAGTTGGGAAGTGATCTGATTTTATGGAGTAAACCCTGCATTACAGTGCTACTCTGTATTTCAATTTGTAGATTTATTCCAGCCGGGATCTTGAGGAATCCATAAACAAGATCAGAGAGATCCTGTCAGATGATAAACATGACTGGGAACAGAGAGTTTCTGCGGTAAGTCGTGAATTTAGATAGCATCTCTATTAATAGAAACTTTTTCTACACTGAGCTTAATCCCACTGAGGTTACTGAGAAAACCTCAGACTAAGGCTGGAATGTAGTTTTAGTGGTGAGCACTTGTTATGTTCCCCCAAACTTGTGAGAAATGTTTCCTTTTCAGACTGAATTTAAGCCACATTTGTGAGGAAAATTGCTATTTGGTATACAAGAGTCTGTTGAGACAGCATCAGGTTGAACTGGAAGTTGTGCAGCAAATCCAGGTTCAAAGCTAGAAATTTGCTAGCAGGTTCTAAGATCAAAATGTCAAGTCTTACTCAGAATATCTTAAAACTTACCTGATAAGGCAGAAAATTACTTTGCTTACAGAGAACTTATTTATACTTCTGCAAAAGGGAGGTGTAAAATAATTCAGCAAGAATCTGCACACTTAAGTTTTGAATAAATAAATATGACTGTGGGAGTGTGGAAGTGGAAAATTGGGTGTTATATGCATGTCAAGACCAAATACTATTTACTGAGGTGAGCTGTGTTTTCATGATACAAATAGGTGCAGTCTTGTCTACACAGTGGACTTTCATCACTGGTGTAGCAGCTTTGCCATGTCTGTCAAACCCTGAATTACAGATCTGAGTGGCAGACTGGGCTGATTCAGCTTACTTCTGTTTAATTTTATTTCTGTACTGAGTAACAGGGAGCTGAAATTGAGCCCATGTGCAGATGCACTGGTACATGGGAGGGCCTGAGAAGGTGTCAGAGGATTGTCTGTAGGATGAGATGGTGGTCCCTGTAATATTAATAGGAAATTTCCCATTTTGATGGGGTCAAGGTTCCCCTTCTGCTAGAGCCAGATAACTTTTAATGAAGTCAATGGACACATTCTGGGTCTGTCATTATTACCCAGGCCTCAGTGTGAACCATGCCCTTTAAGTCTAGATATCTTTTTAACACAAGAGTCAACTATGAGATTACCTAAACATTAGAAGCTGCTGTAAATAAGGGAACAAAGGGGAATGTTCAAGACACCTTTTAGTTTTAAAAAAATATTGTTTGGTTTATTAACTATACCATTTGAGTAGCTGAATGCAACACTTCTGAATTTCTCTAAGTTAGCAAGGATGTTTAGCTTATTGTACTTAATATGTTAACTAACCATGGGTTGAATATAAGATAGGAAATAATAAAATTACTTGGACATCAAGAATTAACTTCCTCAATACATGTTGATGAATAATTGCACAAGAAACCTGGATCCAGCTATTGGTCTTGTAATTGCACAAGAAACCTGGAACCAGCTATTGGTCTTGAACTGTCGTTATATTTGCTGCTCATTAACAGTCACTGATTTCTTTTATACTCCTAACAGTTGAAAAAGATCCGCTCCTTACTTTTGGCTGGAGCTGCAGAATATGATAACTTCTTCCAGCACTTAAGACTTTTGGATGGAGCATTTAAATTATCTGCTAAAGACCTGCGCTCTCAAGTTGTCAGAGAGGCTTGTATCACCTTGGGGTGAGTTTATTTTCTGTGTGTGCTTGAAATGGGATGTAGAAGAAAAGGATCAGGCATTGGTTAAAGCACAGGATGCAGCTAGTGCCAAATAGTTAAAGCTAGAACATGATTTTTCTGCATCTGTTTGAAACTCCATCATGTAGGCCACTAATTGTAATTCTGCCAAGCTGTGTTCCTGAGTACTAAACAATGCTGATGGGGGATGCATAGAATGAATGAGCAAGCCATGCCTTCATGCACAAGTAGGGAAGCATTGAACACTAAAGCTGGCAATGTTTATGTTTTCTTCTGCTTCAGATTGAGCGAGTTTTTATTCCTGATGGTCTGTCCTTTGTGAAATACTTCAAGAAAAAGTGTGCTGCAGTGTTTCTGACATTTTTTTTTAAATAGGGAGCTTTAGAGAAGTTGTAATATAAAGTATAAAATAGCAAAAATATTCTATCACCTTGATCCCATTTGGTTGATAATAAATTTTTAGCTGTGCTAGTTACTTTATTTTATGCTGACCTTACTGTTTCTCAGTGTTCAGATGAATATAGGACACAAGTTTGAAATGAAAGGAACTGTTTTTTGAAACATGGTGTTATCTGTCCTTTGGAGTTGGAGAGGAGGTGACAGTTGCAAAGATTGAGATGTCAGATGCGCTTATGTCACATGTTCTGTACAAGTCTGACTTGCTTTATCTTCAGTTCACTTACCAGCATGACTTCATTCTGTTTTTCAGACATTTGTCATCAGTTCTGGGAAACAAGTTTGACCATGGGGCAGAAGCCATCATGCCAACAATTTTTAATCTAATTCCAAATAGTGCCAAAGTCATGGCCACTTCTGGTGTTGTAGCAGTTAGATTAATCATTCGAGTAAGTATACATCAAAAGAGAACAGTGTTATAATTTCCAAACACTGCAGTGTTTCTGATGAAATATGAATGCTGCTGCAATAAAAATGAGATTAATGCCTAATCTACTTTTCTGATAGTGCTGGGCTTGGCTGTTTCAGATGTTCTGCAGCCTTGTGCAGATGATGCTTCTTAAGCTCTGCTAAAATAGTAGGGGAAATGTTTCTTTTTGCAGGGCAAGATATTTCCATCTCTCTAAGAGCTGAGCAAACATTTTTCTTTGAAAGGGTGTTAGACCAGCCTTGCAGCACAGACTCATCCTCTTAATTATGCTCTAAAATACCTCACAGACAGTCCATGTTTCTCAAAAGTCTTAGTTCACAGTGGTGACTCCTGCCTAGTGATTCATTGGGTAAGCTGTAGGTAGCCTAATGTCTCTAAAATTTTCACCATTGGCAGTTTAGATCTTCCCACAGTGACTTCAGCTACTTGACTCTAGAGAGTGTTATTAAGAAGAAAATCAAGTACTTATTAAAGGTATTTTAGCTGATGAATTGTAAAATATTTTTGATATTAAAAGTCTGCCTATATCTGTTAGTGTTCCTTTATCTAGCAGTTCTGTTTTAAAGTATTGAGCAACAGTAAGGATCTGAGTACTGAGCTCAGGTGGCTGAAGGAGATGGTCTTTCATGCTATGGAATTGCTGTGTAAAGATTTCTTCCTGTTCTTGTTTCTTTACTTCCAGCACACGCACATCCCTCGGTTAATACCCATCATAACCAGTAATTGTACCTCCAAGTCTGTTGCAGTTAGAAGGTGAGAACTGAGTTTGCATTTACTGCTTTTTAATAGTAAATAGATGCTTTCTGAAAATGTGAATGTGCTTGTTGTTATTTGTGAAAAGGGTTGAAAACACACTTACTTATTATAACATAAATCTCATTCTTCTCCATGATTTGACTTCAGATTAAAAGTCAGCTATCCTGTGTAAACTGCATCACTGCAGAGAGGAAAAGGCATTTTTCCACAAGAAGAAATGTTTTTTAAACTAATTGTTGTCCTTGCATGTTGTTATAACAACATATTATTTTGGCATTTTTACCCACACGTTCCTCTTCCCCACTGCTGGCTGTTACAGTGGCTTCTTTTCTTTGAGCCAGTAGATCAGTCTTACATGAAAGCAGCATCTGGAAGGGAAGCTGGGCTGAATGGTCTAATGTTCCTTTCTGCACTTGGAATTTACATGCTTCAGTCCACTACCTCACTGGGAGACTCTTGTCTCCCCCTTGTGCATTAACTGGCTCTCTTTGAGTTAGACAAAAGGAAGGGCTTTGTAGCTGTATTTGGTGACAAACTGTGAGCACATTTCAGCACATGTGTGCCTTACAGTTCTTGAAGTGAGGAAAGGAGATTAGCATTGGAAAGGTCTCTCCCCACATGAGGCAAACTGTGAGGTTTCTGTGTGAAGCCTGGACTAAGAGGTACAGAGTATCAGTGTCAATCTCCTGGGCCTTTTCCTATTTATTGAAAAAGGAAGCTTCCAGAATTGTTTTTTGGCATTTCCTCTCTTCAGGCTTCTCTATAGTAAGCTGCCTCCAATTAATACTTCTGACTGTTTATTAATGGTTTTTTAGAGCTGTTGATATTTTTACTGGGGTCAACACTGAATTTTGATGTCCCAAAACATTTCCTAAGCAAACCTTGGTGTTGTTTAGAGTCAGGTATAGCAAAGCCAGTGTGCCCCAATTAACTTAAACTCAGCATTTCTTCTCTTTCTTCTCTCCTCTCAGGCGCTGCTTTGAATTTTTAGACTTGCTGTTGCAGGAGTGGCAAACACACTCCTTAGAAAGGTAAGTTCTGAATGAATACCAGTGGGTTTGTTCTGTCCTATTTATCTGGAGAGAAGGAGATCATTTCCTGGGACATTCTGCAGAAAGGATCATTATGAGAGAAGACCATATTAGGTAGCTGTAGTAGAGATGTTTTTGCCATCCAAAAGAGGCACATATGCACACACATTGTTTGTTCTGTACTTCTCTCAGAGTTTGGTGGGTATGTCTCCTATGCCAGCCTTGGAAAACTGGCTGAGCGAATCTCTGAACTCAATAACTTTTGTTTAAGAATTTTTTTTTCCTTTTGCACTCTGAAGTGAGATGATGAGGTAAAATCTGCTGCATGTCTTATCAGGACCTTCTGAGACTTCTAAATTACTTTAGACTAGTGACCAGTAATTGTGCAAAGAGAGACTGGGACACAATTCCTTAGCCCTAGACTGCACAAGACTGTTTAGGGCTTAGGAGACTGTTCTTGAATCCAGGCACTTTGGATAGCTAAGTAAAGGCCTATGAAGGATGCTGCTTGCTGTCTCCTAGACAGCAGTGTGGATGAAATAAAACTTGACTTGTAAGAATAAATAAATAAAGGGCACAAAAGATCCTTGATGGCAATGAAAGGATGTGGTGAACTGTTTGTTCTCAGAAACCAAGGCAAAATCAAATCAGTAATTTCTTTATAAATGTGGCACATCTTTCTGAACTGCTGGATAATATTTTCTTTCTTATTTCAGACACATATCAGTGTTGGCTGAAACAATAAAGAAGGGAATTCATGATGCAGACTCTGAAGCCAGGATAGAGGCAAGAAAGTAAGTGGAAGCTGTCATTGGTGTCTCTTCTTCCTCCCCTTCTTTGCCCCTGTTTTGTGAGTCAGTGATACTGCATGGTTGAGACAAAAATCCAGTCAAGATACATTCTCCTGACTTCCCAGTTGTTGGAAAAAAAGAGAGGCTGAGGGGTGACACTCTGTACAGTTTCTTGAGGAGGGGAAACAGAGAGGGAGGTGGTGATCCTTTGTTCCTGTGATCTGGTGATAGACAGGTGGGAATGCTTTGAAACTCTGACAGGAGAAGTTCTGGCTGGACCTCAGGAAAGATTTCTCTACCAAGAGAGGGGTCAAACACTGGAGCAGGGTTCCTACAGAAATGGTCAATGCCCCAGGCCTGTGTCAGGGGCATTTGGATAATGTCCTTAACAACAGATTTCAACTTTTGGTCAGTTCTGAATTGGTCAGGCAGCTGGACTTGATGTCTCTTAGAGGTCCCATCCCACTGAAGTAGCCTATTCTATCCTGTTATTTGCTACTCTTGAAATCAAAGTCCTTGTGCTAGTACACTGCTAAATGGTACCCTAAATTAAGGTAGTATTTTATGACAGTGAAAAAAAATTGTGTATATCTATAGGAAATTTTAATATTTGCAATTGATTTTATTCTTTTGAAGATCTTATGCATTTCCATCAATATGATCATACTTACAGTAGTGTGCTGTATACCAGGGTCCTGCTTTTCTGAACAGAACACTACAGGAACATTTTTCTGCAGAAAGACGATAGTGTAAAACATAAAAACAATGAATAATAAATTTTATTAATCTAAATGCTGTGTTTTAAGCAGTGGTGTTTCACAGTAGGATGCTTAAATCCTTTTGAGAGGCAGCATGTCCATCACTGAAAATTACAGTAGTCACTGAGGCTTCACAGTGGGTGACTAGTTAAGCTGAATAGACAGCAAGGAGAATGGCATGGGACTTCAGAGAGCATGCTTAATTCTCTCTTCACATGTTTATTCAATAGTAGTGTGGCTGATTGTGAGACAGAAATTTGTTTTCTTCTTGTGATGTGAGAGTGCATGTGGCTTCTCTGAGGACTGGCTGTCACACAAACAATTCTTGATTCATTTGATCTGATGATCTTACTCTTGAACTGCCCATTAGTTGCCCCTTGAAAAGTACTGAGAGTCTTCATCTCCTTTGTGCCTCAAGAGTGAATAGTGTTTAGCCATCAGCCAGGAGGTTTGGAATCATAGAGAAATTCTTCCCTCATCTTAAAATGCTCTTTTATTTTCATCATGGCACTGGTTTGAAGTGCACGTGATCATCTCTTTCCTTCTTGTTGGTTTGTTTTTTGGTTTTTTTTTTTTTTTTCCAGAAAGACAGGCAGCATCCTCAGCTCAGTACAGAGACATGTCTCTGCAGCATTCTTGGGGACCTGTTGGTTAAACTTAAGGAAGAAAACAGCAGCTGGTGTTTTCCTGAATCAGGCCCATTCATGTGTGTTCTGCCTTTGGCAGGTTTTGAAATAGCTGCTGCACACCCAGTCCCAAACTAGTGTCAGTCTGGTGGGCCTGCAGTCTCCCATGTGCAGGAGACAGCTGGGGGGATTAGGGCTTCTTCCCTAATGCAGCGTTGTTGGCTACTCCTGCTTTTACAACAAATGCACCAAATTGTTCTTTTATTTGGTTTGTCTTTGTGCAGCTGTTTGAGCAACACAATGGTTGAAAAAGTTGTTTGTCTTAAATGTGTCAGGGCAGTAGGAGCTTGGAAATGGCTGGGCATTGGCTCCACTGATGGGTATAGTGGGAAGGGCTCTGGCTGTGCCTTTGTGCCACAGCCCCTAAAGTGTGACCGGGGTGTATTCACAGTGCTGTGCCTCATTCCAGGTGCTACTGGGGTTTCCACAGTCACTTCAGCAGAGAGGCAGAGCATTTGTACCACACCTTGGAGTCTTCCTACCAGAAGGCCCTGCAGTCCCACCTGAAGAACTCGGACAGCATCGTGTCCCTCCCACAGTCGGATCGCTCCTCCTCCAGCTCCCAGGAGAGTCTCAAGTAAGGCTTTGTGTCACTGCCTCTCCATTGAACTGAAGGGAGCCATCACGTTGCTTTGGCTCATCTGGTCATTCTTTGGACTCTACACTTGTTACTCCAAAATAGATTTGTTTGTTTATTTATTTATTTGTTTGTTTGTTTTTATCCAACACTGTATGAACAACATACAGTTGTTCATACAGTGTTGGATAAAAACAAACAAAACCCTGTACCATAAACCCTGTACTGGCTTTAAAATATAATCATTATTTTGACTCCATAGATAATTTTCTAGGAAGTTATTTGTGCTCAGCAGATACTGTTAGTTATTCCTTTCAGGTGCTTAAAACAGTTCTTAGATTGAAGTTCTGCCTTTAGCATTAAGCCTAGAGGTGTAAGTCTGTCTCTTTCCAGATAAAAGAAAAAAAATGAGTAAATTAAACTTGAGTTGTAACTTATGTCACTCCTATGTTGAATGTATGTATTTTATCTACTCTCAGATATACAATCAACTTAGACTCCAAATGTGTGTGGTTTAAGCATAAGACCTGTATGAAAAATATCCATAACTTACTGGTGTAACTTTTTAAATCTACAAAAAGTGTTCTTAAAATCCTTTTTTTTTTGCACAAATAATGTGAGTACTAATTTATTTCTTAATGCTTTTATAAATAATTTCATGGTGGTGCTGTATTCTTAAACAACAAACTTTGGTAGTTTATTCCTGCATATAAATAATTTCCTATTAGCTTAGTTGTGTGCTGATGGAACAGAATTGTACTGCTCTTAGTGACTGAAATACAAGTTTTGTTTTAATAAGTGTTTGTATTAACTTCCAGCCGTCCACTGTCTGCCAAAAGAAGTCCTACTGGAAGTACAACATCAAGAGGTGAGAACAGGAGCTGGAAAATGTGCTTAGGTGTTGCTGAGGAAGTGTGACATTGTGATAATCAAAAACCAGCTTTGATCACTGTTTACTGCTCAGTAAAAAACAGCAGCTCAGAAGGTAGAAATCTTAATTACTTTTGGAATTTACACCATATTCTGTGCATCAGCTGCTGATAAAATAATGCTTTTAAAATAAGTTAGTAAATCAATAATTTCTTACACCTGAAGGGAAGCCCAAAAAGCCTTGAAAATTGTAGCCAAGGTATGCTTTGTAATAGCTTGAATAAACTGCTGCTGATGCTAAGACATGCAGCTACGTAGTCTAATAATGCCTTCAGTTCTACAATTTTTGTTATTTATTCTCTGTGGTTTCAGCACTTACTGGAGGTGTCTGCACACAAGTTCTACACTGTTAATTTCCATCTCATTGCTAATCTGTTTTTCTTGTCAGATGGAATATTTAGGTACAGCTTTTCTGTCCTATGTAAATGCATACAATAATCTAAAGAATACACTTAAATATAGAATATAATAGACAAAACTTTGTAAAAGATAAGCTGCCTTTTACACCTGACCAAGGTTGGGTTCTGGCTGGTTTGTCTGTAACTACTGAGACCTTTGATTCAAGGAGATGTTGTTGTGTAACCTACTTGACTGTGCACACAAATGCATGTTTGCTTGCAGCTGAGTGAGTAGTCAAGCTTCATGCTTAAGAGGGTGAGCATCAACAAGTGATGGGAACAACGATCCTCATGAGAAGATGAGGTGTTGGGAAGGAAGTTATTAGAACCTGGACTGAAGGACCTGCAGGTCTGTTTTGGCCAGCAACTCTCAGATGCCAGTGATGGGTACTGTGGTTGAACTTTCCCATCTACACTCTGTTAGACATTTCTTTTTACTGGCCTGACAGCCTTTTTATCTTATCATTTAAGCTTATAGAACTTGATAAAGTTCTTAGAGGTAGTATTAGGGCAGCATTGATGAAATATCTTTGCAGGCAGTGTGGGGAAGCCCACATTGCCCTGATAAAGCATTCTTAGTTGAGGTATTTCAGTGCCAGCAGGGAGTGTTAAAAATAGTACTTTAAACTGCTTGTCAGGCTCTTTGAAGCACACAGCTCAAAAAATTAATCTTCTTTATTCTGGATCTCCCACTCCCATCTGCAGCATCTACAGTAAGTACAAAATCTGTGTCAACACCAGGATCTCTGCAGCGATCCCGCAGTGACGTCGATGTGAATGCAGCAGCTAGTGCCAAGTCAAAAGTGACGTCTGCTGGAGCATCCACCCCCTTCAGTTCTGCTGCAGCCTTGCCCCCAGGGTCATACGCATCACTAGGTAAATCTATTGTTCTACAATTGCAGTTAGCTTCCTTTAGTGCCTCGCAGTTTTATTGGAATAATAAACTCTGACTAGAAGAACGTGCCTCTGAGATAGTTACCAGCTCTCCAGGATCAGTGTGTGATCTCTTGCCCTTTGGGATTAAGGGAAAAAAAATATACAGCTGAACTGACTTGAAGCAACAGTTCTGAATTGTGTAATAATCTGTGTCTCACAGACTGAGGACAGTGCTACTCAATTCCTTTTGACATGTTCCCCTGTCTCTTTTCCTTCTTTTCCTTCTCTCCTTTCCTGAAACTGCTTTTCCATTGTTTTATGCTTTGAATAGTACATCTTAGTTGAGTTTGCTCCCTTTCTGTTTCACAAAGGAGAAAGATGGAGAAGCAGAGAGGAGGTCGGCCTTGCCGTGGTATCAGGCAGGATAGAAGTATCTGTTCCTTAAGCTGACTCTTTGGTTTATAGGCACATGTCACATTATTCCCTCAGAGCATTGTGTATCTCCTTCAGGTGTCTCAGGGTTTCTTAAAACAAACTTTGCATTGGATCTTTCTCTCCTGGAGTTGCCATCGAGGGAGTCACGGAGGAGGAAATGCAAGGCAGAGATTGACATCGTATTTGCTGAGCTTCATCTCAGTTGTGAGCAGAGCTGATCATCTGAGCTCCTTCCTCATTCTGCTGGTTTCACACTAATCTTATCCCAGACTTGTCATCAATCTACCTTTACAATAGGGAAGAGACTCAGGTGTCTGTGCTCTTGTTTTAAGCTGTGTACATTGTCTTCACTGAGAAGGGTTGAGGAGTTTCTTCTTTTAATGTAGGACATTTGCTCTTTAACCTGTTAAAAAGTAAGTGGTAAATTATATAGGGATGATTTTTATGGATTCAATTTTCAGACAGGTTTCTTTCACATCTGAAATGCTTTACCTTGGCTTAGGTGTGTTGGCTGTATTCAGTTCAGAATTGAATTCTTACTCTGATTTAAACTGTTCTTACTTGGTTCAAGATGCAGATACATTCCAGATACATGCAGATACAGAACATGAAGTTGATCCCATGATGGTGGGCTTACAGATGCAGTCACTTTTGAGTTGTGCTGCACTCTGGCTCCAGTGGCTACACTGCCTTCAAGCAGTCTTATTTCATAAGGAAGAATGAAGAGGGAGGAAGTATCTACTTAGAGCTGACTTGGTCCTTGAAGCTTAGAGACTGAATTGAGTGTCAGTCTTGTTCTTTAACCAGGCTCTAGGAGAAAAGTAGCAAAGTCACTCTTAAGTGATGCAAGCATGGCTGCTCCTGAAGGATCCTGCTTCCTTTTTAGCTAGTAGGGACATGTATCACCCGCACATTCCCATGAGAGAAATGGTGAGGCAAACAATGAAAATGGAGTTGGGCAAAGGTTGGTTGTTGCAGGAGGGAAAGCCTGCAAGTGTTTTTTTCCATTACATCCAGGTTTGATTTGCTGCTTGGTCCAACTTTTTTCATTTCTTTAATTGTATTAATTATTTTTTTTTCATATTTATTTAGCTAATATATAGTGCCCAGTTCTGTTGATGTTACTGATTTTTCCCTATTAACCCTGTCCTTACTTTTCTTTAATTTGCCTAAAGATGGTACAACCAGTAAAGCCGAGGGTAAGCAGTCTGTGTGTAACTGAGGTGTGTCCACAGTCGTACTGCCCTACCTGGTCTCTGTTCTCAAAGTGTTACCTGGTTCTCATCCATGTTCACTGGTGACCTGCATGAAGTGTTGCATGGTTGTCCTGCTCATTTTGATGCCATGGGGTATTCTTCACTTTCTCTTTGAGCTCCTCCCTGCTAAAAACCATTAGTCTGCTTTTATGACTCTGGTCACTAAGTTGTTATGTGGGTTTCTCTGTTTAAAGCTCTGCTTTTGGTTCAAGGTGACCTGTGTATGGACTAAAAAAAACCTCAACCAAAAAAAAAAAACCCAAAAAACTCCCAAACAACACAAGGCTTGTGATTTCTTTTCTCCTTGATGTGTAAAGGTTTGCTGTGTTTTTCCATCCAAAGCTCAGGTCACAACTGCCAAATGCTTTCGGGAAGAGACTGGGCAGTGAGAGAATTGAATGAGATGATCACATGGCAGAAAAATGAGGACAGTAAACAATGATCTCTAGGGAAGGAATATTTAGTCAACCTCTTTAAACCTGACCTCTCTCTTTTTGTTGTTAACTGTCTGAGTGAGATGGCTTACACCAAAGACAGTTGGAGGAAAGGCTTTTTATACTAGAACACTGAGCCTGCAAGTTTGGGAAGGATCCCAGTCTGTTTTTCTGGCTCATTGTCAAAACTTGTTCTTTATTTCTTATTTCTTCAGCAAAAAAAGATCACTGGGAAATTACTTTTTCTGAGCTAGACAGGAGTTGGAAACAAAAATGTTTTCTACACAGAATGGAGATACCACACTCTGCAGCAAAGCCTTTTTTTCCCCAGTGCAAGTCTCTTTTCAAGGGATCTATTACTGTCTTGTGGGACTGTGCTCATATCTTTGATGGCTGCTCGTATTTGGATGTGGTGGTTTGAGAAGTGCCACTGTGCTGTTGTGACATCTGTGTTATTTTCTTTACTGTTAGTGACACGTTGATTTATTATTTGGAAGAAAAAGTCTGTACTATTTTTGGAAATGGTACTTAGTGTTGAGAGAGGAGCTACATCTCATCTTGAGCAGGAAGTATTTGTGCTTTGTGATCTGTCAGTGATAAGGAATATGAAGTTGACCTGAGACCTGTATTTCTAAATCAGTCATGACTTAGATGAAAATTCCAAGTTGTTGTAATAACTGATCTCTTTTATTCTTCCTTTTTTTTTAAATTGTTGATGCTTTTCTTTTTTTTTTTTTTGTCTTAGTTCTCAAACCTAGCTATTTTTGGCCTACATTTGAAATGTTGAGGATTTAAGTTTTATATGAAATACCAGCTTTCAATCCTCTCCTTGGCTATAATAATGTTTGCAGAGGCCTGTTACAACAGCTGTCCTGTGCAATACCTCTATTTTTAGTTTATTAAATACTTTATTGTCATGATGCAAAAGGGTGTGAGTTTTATTTGGTTACTGTTTTCAATTCAGTTACATTAGGAGCAGATTGGATTTGGTAAAAATCGGTAATAGAAACCAGCAAGTTGCTTGGGGCAGGGAAGATTGAGATGAACTTTCAGAAACAGACTTTGCTATCCCCTCTGTTTTAGATACTAAGTCTTACCCCTCTTTTTGCCGTAAGAGTCTCTCTTCTTTCATGACGAGGATCAGGGAGAATTAAAACTCAGTACACTATAGTAGCTAGAGTACTTCAAGAATGAGTTTAATCACTGTTTGAAACTCTTCATCTTTTTGCTTTGAGGTAGTTGAGGCAAAAAATCCTTTATTCAGGATTGACTGTCCATCACTTAATAATGAACCTGAATAAGGTCTTCTGCCAACTCTGTGATCTTGCAGATTGAGTCAGGAACTGCAGGGAAGATAGAACTTTGTATTCTTGACATAAATGTAAAAATTAAGAGGGTGGGGTTAGAAAAAAAACATCCTCTTGCTCTGGAAACAGAAGGAAACAGAACATAAAGCAGAAATGTCAGTTGTGCTCCTGTGGTTGGTTTTGGTTTTTTTGCAGGTCACCAGTAAGTAATTTAAGAGAAAATTCCTCTGTTATTTTGTGTGGTTCAGCTTGACATTAAATCTGCAGCCTGGTTCCCATCATGGCTTTCTGTAGCTGCGTTGTAAGATCCTGCTCATTCCCCTCAGCTGGGAGCCAGCATTGTTTGGACTTGGCCGTTCCCTTCTGCTTTGCCCTTGGTTCTCCTCATGGTTTGGTTGGGAGTCAGGCAGCTCAAACAAAGGAGCAAGATAGAGTAGGTGATGCCAGTGCAAGAATGCCAGCTAAGAGCTGAGTGTCAGTCCTTTGGTTTGAAGTTGTGACATCCCAACAATTGGCAAATGCTGTAGGAATGCACCTCCTTATGGAAAGGTAGGTGAGTCTGTATTTCAGTGAGGCTTGTGCAGGTCTTCTTGCAGTGCACAGATGTGCCTTGATTGCCCAGACTCTTCATGTATGGAGATCTTCTGAACTGCATTAAGGGCTTTACACACAGGAAAAGATAAACCTTTACAGTCTTGATCTTCACAGCTAGTGCTAGGGAGGTGACCCTTGTGCCTTGTTTGTTATACCTGATTAAAAGGAAAACATTAGAAAAGTTTCTGCATATTTTATCATGAAACAGCTTTTCAAGTAATATTTTAAAAGGCTGCATAATACTTTCATTATTAGAATGGTTCAGAGCATTTGTGTTACCTTTTTTACAAAGCAAGCATGAAGTCAAGCCCTTCAGACAAAGCCTTTCTCCAAAAGGGAAAGCATAAATGCTGGTTTGACCTGCGACAGGCAAGCTCAAAACAAAATCAACAGTTTGCAGTCAGGGGCAAAATTTTTAATGGTTTTGAGTACTCACCAGAAAGGCAATAAAATGGGGCTTGTTGCAGTTTTCAGATAACTTAGTCTCAGGTGTCCACCCTGAGTGCATTATCAAAGGCTTTAGGAGTAACACAAGTTGAAAGAAATCATCATTCCTGTTTTCTTCTCTGCCTTAAAGCTCTCCCTTGTCCTTAAGAGTGAGGCTTGATTCAAAGTCATGACTGACAGTGGTACCTTACACAAAATTGCTCAGGTAGCAGGTTTTTTGCTTTTCTTGCTCCATCCCTTTGCAACTGCTGAGTTGATTTGGCTGTGTTTGTTTGTGTAGGGTGAAGTGGAGAGTTCACTGAGCCCTCTGCTTTGGAGGGAGATCTCGTGTAAAACCCTGAGGCAGCACAGCCTGATGGTTTCCAGTAAGGATCAAGTGCCTCTCAGGGAAAATCATTGTGCAGAGTCAGGTCTTTCTAACATTGGAGAATTGCTAAATATGTATAGAAACCATTCTGATGGAGGTTGTAAAAAGTTCTTTAAATATTATCTATGTTTTTAATTGATCTCTGTGTGTCTCCCATGTCCATGTGTTATTTAGCAGTGACACAGCTAGGGCTAGAGGCACTTTCAGGAATGTTTTTCTCCAAGTGGGGCAAACCCCCCAGTGCTAGGTAACATAAATGCATGAATGTGATCCCTGGAGAGACCATCATTGCCCCAGTGTGTCCATGTATAACTTGTGTGGTTGTAGGTGTCCCTGTTCACTGCATGGAATTGATTAAAGTGAGTTGTGAGGCTGTTGCATACCATTTCTAGACTATTTGAAAACCATTTTCTTCAGTGTCATATGCAGACTGAGTGTCACAAAGCCTTTGGCTATTCTGTGCACTGGGGGTGGAGATGCTGCAGTATCCACCCAGAGGACTCAACCTGCCAGGTGAAGCCTCTTGTAAAGCACAAATGTTATCACAGAATCTTCCTTAATTTGTTCCTCTTCTGAAAACAAACAAGACAAAACAGCCTTTCTAGGTTTAGCCATTTGTTAGACATTTCAGGGTTGATTCTGAACCATTGTTCTAAAAACGACAATAACTTTAAAAAATTAAACCAAAATCTCCTAAAAATCCAGAAATGGTTTCTTAACACAACACATTTATATGGAATCTTTCAAAATCTTTTCTCTACCAACAACAGTGTGTCGCATGTCAAATTTAGATCAAGGGCTTTTTTATGGAAATAGTTTCATGGTTTTTGGAAACCATGTTGGGGCAGTCTTTATCTGTTCCTTTGCTGTGCTGTTGTTGTTAGAATGCAGAAATACTTTTAAAAGCAGCAGAAAAATAATGGTTGTGAAATATGGATTGCTACATCTGTAGTTTGAACTAGATATGGAAACAAACCCACTTGAAAGAAAAGAAGTTTTGGGAGGGGAGGTGTTTGCTTGAATTTAAGAACAAGAAACATTCTAAATAGCTTACTTGATATTATATTTCCAGTTCTGCTTGAAATGAGTTTTTCTGTCTGGGTTAGAATGATAGAGATAAAGCCACACACATGGTCCTATGTGCAAATAACTCTTGGATGTGAGTGCAGATTCTTGTTTGCAGATTCTTGTTTTCATTCTTGTCTTGAATGAAATTCCTGGGGGAATGTGGAAGCCACATTTGTGTTGTATGGATTAACTACTATATATGCATGTTGTATTTGGTATAATATATATTAAAAATCCATTTGCACAGTGCAAGTCCAATGCAGTGTTAGTTCAAATGCTTGTCAGCATTTTTTAAAGGGTGGGAAAATCTGTATCAGTGTTTGGACTCTCTTCTTACTGTGGAAGAACAACTCCTCTCACAGGGTTCTCTCTGACCCCAATAGGCCTAAATCAGTGTGCAAATGTACCAGTCCTAAAGGAAGCAGAATTTTGTTTCTGGACATTTGTTCATTCATTTACAAACTGCTGAAATTGGTAATTGGTAGGAATCTGTCCACCAGCCCTCAGGGGTTTCAAAATAGGGCTGAATTTTCTTATTACAGTCCTGTTGATAATCACATGTTAATTAAGTTTGCGTTAGTTCTATTTAATTTTTTAAGCCCCTAGAAATGGTTTCAGAGGCTAGTCTCAGTTTCACTTTATATATTATTTTAGACTCTGTTTTTCTTAAGTTGGAAAAGTCACACATCTTATCCCTGTTTTCCCCTTCTTAGTCACCTGCTGATGAAGATACAAGAAAGGGGGAAAAAACACCCCAAATTTTGTAGATGCAGAAAAATCCAGAAAATTTTGAGGGTCTTAAGTGGCCTGTGTGTAAAAGGAGACATCAGTCCTTTCTCACCCATTCTTGGCCCATGCACATCACTAAATGTGTCTTCCAGTACTGCCTGTTACTGTGTATAGTGTTGAATTTCAAATTGATTTCCCCCTAGGACTTCCTGCAATGCCAAGGCCTCCCAATGGCCTTCTGGAAGGATGTAAATTAATTCCATTGCTGGTTCCAAAGATGGTCAGGTTTAAATTCTTGTCTTACTGTGATGCCTTCCTGACAGAAGTGAAGGGAAGCCTTGAGGTTTCTGAGAAGAGCATGATGTCTGCCTGCCTCCTTCCCCGTGCCTGCCTGCCTTGGAGCCTGTGTCAGGCTTTGGGTCCACCTCATCAACAATTGACAGAGTGGCTCTGCTCACTTCTGTGGAGCTGTGCCAGACTTGCACGGGGTGGGATCTGGCTGGCAGAGAGCTCTAGAGCTTGCCTCTGGCAGTGCATCAGGCTTGACCCTTTGTAAGGGGCAAGAATGCCCTAGAGCAGAGGAATCCGCAGCCTTGCTTGTGGTGAAGAAGACATCAGCAGCCAGTTTTAGGGCTGTTCGACCCACATGGGTGTGCTCAGAGCTTGTTCAGTTGAGACAGTGGTAAAAAAGTTTTGTTTGTGTTTTCCCAGTTTTGTGCTGATGATTCCTTCCTCATCTGTAAACACTTGTTTGAATGTACTTCCCTGTCCTTTGCCTACTCAGCTCTTTTAAAGCTAGGTGCTGGTGGAGAGGTTTGAAGTAGAGCTGTCTTGTAGGCTTTTTCCCTTGCAAACAAATTTGCCCTTTCTTCTGAAAGTTAGGCATCTCCTTGTCACTTTGGGTCTAGCAGAAGCTTTCAGACCATGTTATGAATATTTTGAGAGCTCAGAGAAGGAACATAGCTCCCAACCGCTCTGTCTGGGCTGCTTGCCATTGTCTTGTCCTGCATGTGTGCCTTATGTGAAGTGGGTTTTTTTGGGTGGGAAGTGTTTGTGTTTCCCTGTTCATATATCTCTGTATGCTTATGGTGGAGACAGAGGGCAGGAGATGAGTATCTATAACCAGGGGGTGCAGTTGTCTAGACTTCTCTTACCTGCTGTGGGTTTTTTCCTTTCATTATTGTGCCTGAGACTGGAAGTCATCCTCTGAATGCAGGATAGCACTGGCATGAGTCCTGAGAAAACAACTTCAGTCTTGGCTAAGAACTGACGTGTGGAAAAGTATTGATGGAGGCTTTCTTTGTGTTACTCTTAATCATTTCTTTCCCATTAACTAGAGACAGATAATTGAAGCATAGCACTGGAAAGAGCATTCTGTAGGAAACAACCCTACCCCAGGAAGGGGATGAACTGATGACCCTGTAAGCTTTCCTAGCTCAAATTTCAGTGGCTTTTCCATGAGGAAAGGACAGAACAAGGACTGAGAACACTTTGAGACTTTATATCCATTCTCTGCTTAAATAAAGAGAAGGCACACAGAATCTATTTTCCTCAACACTGATTATGTTAAATAGGGCTCTCCATTACAAGTTGCACTGATCTTGGATAAATATGAGGGACCTGTAAACAGCAGGGAAAATTCAATGAGCCTGAAATAAAAGTGTGGTCAGGCTGTGTTGACAGACTGTCACAGGAGTGCCTGCCAGCCTGTGCAGGTGGAGCAGGATATAAAGCACCAGACAGCTAGTTGGAAATCCCAGCGATGGAATTTGGGAGGGCATCTGTCACACCCGTCTCTGAAAGGGTGATCACCTTGTCAGAAAGTAATAATTTGATACAGGAAGCTGCATTTAGGAGGCTTGAATTTTTTTGTTGTAGATCCTTTGTTAAGAAGCTACTATAGAACAGGAGCAAAGGCTATGGAGAGGTAATATTTTTTAATTAAACTGGCTGATAGCATTACAGAAAGCAAAGGAGGCTTTGGACTATGGGCTGTGGCTGTTTCCACTCCCTCCCCTGCATCTCAGCCAGCCTAATAAAAGGTGTTGCCTCTCCCAGTAAATTTCTTTTGTACCCTGGCTAATTGTGTGCATAGCGTGTTAGACGCTGCTGTGCTGCCTTTGTGAGAGCCTTGCTAACAGCGTGCTTGTGTTTGCATCCCTGCAGGCCGGATCCGCACCCGGAGGCAGAGCTCTGGCAGCGCCACCAGCGTCACCTCCACGCCTGCCGACAGCCGGGGCCGCAGCCGCGCCAAAGTGGTGTCCCAGTCCCAGCGTAAGGAGCCTTTGTTCTCGGGGCAGCAGGACAGAGTTACTCACGTGTTTCTCTTGAATTGCAGTAGCACCATCAGAGAATTGGGCTCGCTTTGGACAAATCGAAACCCACCTAGCTAGTGTGTGCTCCTGCTGCCAAACAGGGCCCCAAGTCCCAGTGCTTAATTGTGGCCTTTTTTACCAGTTGTGCAGCAGAATTTCGTGTCGCTGTGATGTGTAGCTCTAAATAACTGGCACTGTGTCTTGCTGAGACACCTTCTGTGCCTGTAGCTGACTGCTTACCCCTGCCAAGCCTCTCCTGCTTATGTGACTCTATTTTTGTATGTGTGAACACGTGAGCTGTCTAAAATTAATGGGGTTTGGCATCAGTTGAAAATAGGACATTACCTATTTTGTGTAGATATGGGAAAAAGGGTTCTGCTTTGATTCACATGACACATCTGCGCTCTCTGGCTTCCTGGCAAGGCATGGTTTTCTCCTAGGAGCCGCACATATGGTGCTGCTGCATATTTGTCATGTGTATCTGAGGAGAATTTTGTCACTCAGACTTGAAAAAGGAACTGGAGGGAATGAAAAACTCCCTGTTATGAGGACCTTCAGCCTTGTGAAAAGGAGATTGGGTTTGTGAAGGACCTGTCTGTTCTGAAGACTTGTCTTGCTTCGTACCCCTATTTGAAAGCCCTTCTCTGTTCATTCTTTCATTGCTTTGCTCTGTCATGCTGGAGGGTTGAAAAGCTGTTTATAGCCTTGTGTTAGACTGGGTGATCTGCAGAAAGACATAGTATATTGAGCATGGGGCCAAATGGAAATCTTTACATTGAGGTCATAAGGATATATCTGGGCTTTGGGATGCTAATGTAAATTGATTTCTTCAGTATTGTACTTAAAACTTATCCAAAGCCAGAAGTCACCTTTTTCTTAGTTTGGAGAAAAATGGTCAGACCAAATGAGACAGGTCTCAGAAGTATTTAAATAATAGTTATTCTTTAAAGGTTTCAAAGATTATGGACCTAATGTTTCTATAGAATGCCTTATGAAGATTTCAGGTGGTCGTGTCTGGACCTGCTGTCTTGGTCTAGTGTTTGCTGAGTTTCTCAACCAGATGTGATCTTTATCCTTAAACAAATGTTGCATGGAATTATTTACAAGTTTAAATATGTTGAGTTGGTCACATAACCAGATTCTCCATGCCCACACAGTGGATAACCATGTTGTAATTTCACAGACTGTGCTGGGGTGCAGTTTAGAGCAGAGCTTGGGTCTTGGTTGACATTTTGCTGAGAAGTTGGTCAACCTTGGGAAGTTTAGTTGCATCTGCACATTAACTCACTGCATTCTGCAGAGGCTTTAGGAGTGACATGTTTGTAAATAAATCTGTGTGTATTGTGTATAGCACAAACCGCATGCTGAACGCTGTATTGTCTTGCTGTCTTTTAATCCACTTTTTGCCTGTCCCTTGGTCTGCCCTCATAATCAAGGATCCAGATCAGCTAATCCTGCTGGTGGTAAGAAACATTTTCCCTTTCTTGCTTTTTCACATTATTTCCTTCACATTTTTTAACTGCTAAGCTTTTAGCTTTCCTCATTCTCTCCTAACTGTAAGACTTAAAAGCATTTTGTTGAAGTCATAAATAAAATGTGTATGGCAGGGGACTTTGCTTTCTCCCACTAATCAAACATGGTAAGCATATGTTCTGATGTCAGAGCTGGCTCACTGCTGCAGCTCAAACTCCAGGGGCTGAATTCTTCTCTCAGTTATTTCAGTTCATCCCTGCTCACACCAGTGAGGTGACTCTTAGGTGATGGTGCTGTGTGGAAGACTGGCATCTGTCACTTTGGGGTGGAGAGATTGGAGCTGGCGTTTCTTGCAGTATTGAAGTGTATTTGATTGGTTCAGAATGGCTCTGGCCAAGAAATTGGAGGGGGCAAGTAACTTCATACATGTGCAGTGGTATTGTTCATGATGCTAATAGAGTTCCCTGTCTTCTTACATTAAGACAGAAGAAAAGTTTTGTTGTACTCTAGTTGTAACAGTATTTGGAAATAAAGTTTTTCTGAGATGTAAGATGCATTTCAGCAAGAAATCAGTGTGAATATTAGTTCAAAATGTGAGCATGCCTGAGTGTGCTCTTGCAACCCTTTCAAATATACTTTTCCAGGCTGTTTCAGCAAATAAATTTAATGTCAGAAATAGTAATGACAACAGCAGATTTTCAGGGACTCACATACTCATTTCTTAGAAGAAATGTAAAGTTGCCATGGACTATTCAAACAGGCCAACTATTCAAGTTGCTAAAAATTTTTGTTATCTGAAAAATAAATAACTTAGGTTTAACCAGCCAGACCTAAGTAAGCCAGCATCTCTATGAGTGTGATGCTCATGAGATTTACCCATTATTGTGCTGATCTGTTCAGATGTGGTGGGGTTTTTATTTTCCTTCACTGAATTATTGCAGGAAAGCAATGCCACCCCTGCAGTGTAGCACGAAGGTGCCTGAGCTGATTTGCAGCAGGTGACCTGTGCCAGAAGCCAGGGCACTGCAGCACAGCTCTGCACACAGCCTGGTTGGGGTTGCTTTATGAGGGGGTGAGGCAGCCTGTAAATCCTTTGCACGAACCACAAAGCAAAGCAGGGCTGCCCCAGCACCTCCACAGTCTCTCCTAAAGCCAGCTAGGGTGTTCATACACTGCAGTGTCTGCTTTGGGCTTGATCTTCATGGGTAACAGAGGGTGCCTGATGTCGGTGTTCATTGTCCATGGGCTTTTCTTAGTCTTCTTGAAAGCTTATAGGGAACACTCCCATTAGTTTTCTGAGGGATTTGGATTAGATTCTTACATAGAGTTGACTGTGTTCCAGTTTTGCTATGAGTGTGTTTAAAATCTTGGGGGATTTTAATTGTTTGTTCCTCGTTTCTGGTTCTCTCCTAGCTGGCAGCCGGTCTAGCTCTCCGGGTAAGCTCTTAGGAAGCTCCTATGGTGGCCTGAGCAGTGGAGCATCCCGAGTGCAGGCAGTGCCATCCTCCTCAGAGAAGCGCAGCAAGATCCCGCGGAGCCAGGGCTGCAGTCGGGAGACGAGTCCCAACAGAATAGGCCTAGGTAAGAGCAGTCACTGCAGGGACCTGCTGGCCATGTGCCTGATGGAGGGGCTTGCCTTGTGGCTGGGGAACTGTTCATGCTGCTGTTATTCTTCTGGGTTTTTCAGCTGACAAGTTAATGTGATTGTGGTTTGTAGGAGAGTAATTTCAATTTTCCAGGTTGAGCTTATGGTTTCAAAGTAAGCCTAAAGATGTCATGATGTGTTTTCTGTTTGAAATTCAACATGAGCAATTTTATTAGATCAGGAAGCAAGAACAATTGTGAAAAACCATCAGAACAATGAGACCTCATTTAAGCTTATTCCTAAAATGAGTTGAGCAATCTTTACAGTCACATGGAATCAAGGGCAAAAAGTACCTTCTTGGATTATTTTAGAAATTTTGCATTTGAAATAGTTTGCTTCTCTCATCCTTAATATCCTGGCCACGTTCTTAGAACACGTTTTAGACTTATGTAGTAATTGTTCTGCTTTTGATACTCTTGTCTCAGTGACTGTTATGTAAATATTCTGTAATAGTTTCTTTTTTTCAAATTTATCAGCAGACTTTTTTTTAAAGTCAGGTAAGTAAATATCATGTATATAAAACTTTATGTATCTGAGTTGAAGTGAAAAGGTATTCAGTGTACTGCCTGAACATTTTCGTTTTTAATATAAATTATTTTATAAGTTTGAAGCTAATGTAGAAGAACATTTTAAATGATACTGATTCTAAATTATTTTTATCTCTAGAAACTTTACCAGTAGATTAAAATTTATTGAAATTGTAGCCTTACTGTTGGCAGTTAAATTTGTAACTATTGCCTTAGCAATAGTTTTATATTTTACATTTGAGCTGCATCTTGATTTAGAGGAGGTCGTTAATAAAGAACTATTTTATTTATTCTTTCCAGTATACTGAAATGAGTTTAAAGCACCTGAGTGTATATGCCATTATGATTCATAAAAAATACTGCATATTCATTGTGACTGCTTTTCCAAATTCAGTGTTCTTCTCATGTCTGATCTATTTTATGGGCTCTGTATTAGTACATTATGCTTTCTGTTCGTTGCTTTGAAAATGTAAAGTGCCTCCCAAACACTAGAGGTAATTGTTCTGCTATCACTGTGTAGAAGAGCATTGTTTTTTAGGAGGAAGCAAAGAATGGTGGATGGTACCATCACACATGCTTAAGCTGATCATCATACTGTGTGGTCTGGTTTGAAACATTCTTGAGCACCTGAAGGGAAATTGCCTTGTGTAGAATCCTCACTCTTGGGTTGCCTGCTTTCAGGTATATTACAGGAGCCTTAAATTCTTTTGAAAGAGTAGTTTGTATCATTTCTCTGATGTGCTCCCTGAGAATGTAATCAGTGCTTGTTCTTTGAGAGTGGGAGAGAGATCTGACATGTATCAGTGTGTGGCTTTTACCTATCACCCCCAGGTTGGTGGACACAGCCTGGGTTGAGCTGTTATGGGAACAGGAGTGTCTGACACTTTACTGTTCAGATGCAGAAATTCTTTCTATTTATTGGATTTTTAAAGTTGCAATACTGACCCAGATGGAGATAACTTTTGAGCTGTCAGCTATATACCATTATTCCATTGTACTTATGACTTTATGACATAGTAGCTAACAGTATTTTATGCTTTTTTTTTTTATTGTGTTGCTTCAGTCTCTATATTTTCTTGATATTTTATTTTGTTTGTTCATTTCATTAAATAAACTCCCACCCACCTTGATTCCAAATACAGAAACGATCCCCTGGGGTTTTTCAGGCTCTCCTGGGGCAGTAGCAATAATAGAGCCCTCTGCATGTGGATGCTGTTAGCATCAATACCTTGCTGCTAGCTTTGTTCCATGATGACTACAGGTATCCATGAAGTAGATTCCTTCTGTGTGCTGGGAAGCTTGAAGAAGATTTTGTTTCCCCAGAGGCAGTGCAACAAGGAGCATTCAGTGTCCTGAGGTCCTGTGTGGTCACCTGTATGTTTCTGCTTGTGACACTTCAGTTTTAAGCCTGCCTGTGCTGTCTGCTCAGTGAGTTTTACTAGGGGGAAGGAGGAGTGCAGTCCATTTAATCTTGAGAATTTCTTTGGGCTCCTTGAAGGAGATCATGTGCTCAAACAGATGATGTCCATTTCCCATGGATTGAAAATTATCAGCCTGAAGTTAATTGTGCTGGATGCTCTGCAGATCATGTGGCACAGCTGGATCTGAAAGAAGTGAGAGATCCAAGACAGCCATTCTCCAAAAAGTGGAGCAAGCACAGCTGCCTATCAGCTTCATGCAGCAGCACTATTTCTGTTGGGGTTATGCTGTGTACATTCATTGGAAACCTGCAGGCAGTTCTTGACTTGCCTTGCCTGGGTGTTCCCCACTGCAGAGCTTTCCTTTGGCTGTTTGGCAGAATTTCAGGCTCTTTAAAATGCTGCTATTGATGTAAGAAAGCGTCTGCTGATTTTTAGTCTCCACTTAAGAATCATTAAAATTCACACCCTAATGAAATACCAGTTTCTTCTGGTAGATTGCTAAACAGGGGCACTTTCATGTTCTGCTGGGGATATTTGCATCTGCTGGGTTCCACTGGCATAAGACTGCTGGATAGTGTGTTTTAATAATGGTGGGAGCCATGTCTAAGTGCTCTGACTTTCCAGGTGAAATTGGTAACAGTACACATTACAAAGTTGGAATATTATTGGAAACAACCCATCCTTGTCCTGTCCTAGACTTTCTCACAGCAGAGCTGGCTGTGGACACACTGTGTGCTTTCATGCTGCCTACTCTTCTTAATCCATTTTGCTACTCATTCCCTTGATTTCTGTCCAGCTTTTGGGGATTGAGAATTCTCCAACTGAGACTTGCTCAGTCTTCTTTGCTTTTGCTCCCTGCACTGCAGAGACAGGCTGTGACAGTGTCAGAGACTTAGCTGAGTGACAACACTGCTGGCCTTTACTGCTGGCAGTGTCTAAAGGAAATAGTCTGAGTAGCTAATACAAAATCTTCTTTACACAACATGGTGATGAAAATGTGAGGCAGGTGCCTGGGAGTCCACAGCAGACTCATCCTTCAGTTTTTTTCAATCCTTTTTTTTTTTCCCGTAATTTTCTTTTGTATCCAGCAACATGCAATCCTTTTATTTGACCATTAATCCTGAAGTACGCAGTGTTTGGCTTTGGTTATTCTGTTTGTGTAGTCAGTATTATGCTTCATCTGTAGCATTGTCCTACTAGTGTAGGACAATGCAATTAAAGTGCATTTCCCTCATATTCATGCTGCTGCTGTTAGCTGGTATGGAAGGAGAATTTGTTGTGTGCATCCAAAATTTTTGTAAGCATTCGTATCTCTCCCTCTCTAAAGAGACTTTACTGTTTTTAGTACGGTTGTATTATAGAAAAGATGGGCAGATCTTCTCTGTTTAAGAGAAATGACTGCTTGTGCAAACTTGATGTGAAGGCTGCCATTATTTACATCTAAGCATGAGACCCAAGAATGAGAAGGTTGCTTCTAGAGAGTCTGCAATTTCAAACCAAGTATTTGTGTGGAGAACTTTAGTGTTACTCTTACCTGTAGTTCACTTGTCAGCTTTTCCCCTTGTACATCTTAGATGGGATTATTGTACTCATGAACCCTAATTTCATCCAGCTCTTATAATTTAGTCTGTTTTACTTATTGTAAGACCATCTAAGTCACTATCATTAGACATTGTGGTGATCTAATCAGCTTGGTTCATAGCTCATCTCACGTTGTCTGACATCAGAGGTCAACCATCAGAACCATTAATTCATCGCAGAGATATGAACTTGGTTTTGCAAAACTGGGAGGGATTTGACAAAGCAAGAATCTGGCAGAAGACTCTATTTGAATTTTAAAACCTAAATATGAAGGTTTCTATTTTGTTCTGTACTGTTTTGCTTGAAGGATGCTTCAAGGATGTGAGAGCTCTGAAGCACTGTAGAGGAACTTCAGCTTGAGTCTAGGCATTTAAATTCTGTGTACAAACCAATAGAGATTTTTAAGAATATATATATATATTCTGAAGCATGCAAATGACATAATTTTTATAAAAATGAGGGTACAAAGTGTTAGCACCCTCATGTTCATGCATATGTACCTCTGCTGTGTTGTCACCAAAGCTGGCAGATTAGGCTTTACTCTGTGCCTGAGAAAATTCCTCTGTGGAGGTTCCTGAACACTTGAAATATGCTACTGCCTTTTTAAAACAGCAAGGGAAATCCCTCTTGTCATTAAATTCTTCTGACAATTAACTGCTGGGTTTTGCTCTAAGAAAATATTGTATTCTTCATCAGGCATAAATCTTACTAAATAACTTTCTGCAAGCATTTTTGAAACATTCAGGGTCTCAAACATATGCAAGCATGTAGGGTTTTGTACAAGTAAGGAATATAGTTTAAAGCTCCCCTGAAGTGTGCATAAGCCTCAAACTGTGTGCATATAAAATCATAAAGATAAACTTCTAGAAATGTCTGAGGAGCAGAAGTTAGCTTCTGTTAAATATCTGAAGCTACCACTCTCTTCAAATTCAAATCACTTTTTAACCTGTCTTTCAGGTATTCAGGTTCTAAATATTTTTTCCCCAGTATCTTTCATTAGAGAAAGATATGTCTGCAAGTCTGTACAGTACACCTTTTTTTTCCTTAGGATATTTGTTCAAAAAAACTCTCCCTGTGAAAGGCAAATCTATGTAAAAACATCGTATTGGTATTCCTTAAAGAAATTTTTCTCTGCTCATTTATTCCAGAAGGGTGTTTATTTTAAAATTAAGGAAGAAATATTCCAGAAGGGTTTCTTTCAGCCTCATCTGTTTTGCAACAGTAGAGCTTCCCTAAATGATTGAAGATTCCTGCTCTACTTGAATAACAAAACTTGGATTGCTTAAGAAAAAAGCAGACTGTCAGCCAGACATTAAGGCTGCTGAAATTTCACATCACAAACACAGCTCAGCATGTAAGGTAGTTGGTTTGTAAAGAGCCTGAGCAGGCAGCTACAAATTGTAATTACTAATGTAATAATTACCATAACTAACAGAACTGTGACTTGACTTTGAGCTTTCTGTCCTCATTAAACTTGTTCACCTTCTCTGAAACTCTCCATGCTGCATGCTAGCACGGAGCAGTCGCATCCCCCGACCCAGCATGAGTCAGGGGTGCAGTCGTGATACCAGCCGTGAGAGCAGTCGAGATACAAGCCCTGCTCGGGGCTTCCCTCCACTTGGTGAGTACATATAGGCATTGGAGCTTTAAGGGTCAATATTTTTTTTCCTTTTTCCCTTGTTGTGATTACCCTTTCAAGACACTGCTAGGTGGAATGAGCTCTTTTCTGTCCTCTGGATTCCTGACACTCCCCATTTCCAACCCCGTTTTTTTTCCCTCTTCTCTGTTTTCTTCTGCATGCTTCAATTCTGATTCTCAGCACTTCACTGTTAGCAGGGAAATAGCTTAGTTTGAACTTTTGCAATTTTTAGTTTGATTGAATCAGCTTCTATTGGGCTGCTGTGCTTCGCTTAATAACACTGATGGAAATCTATGGGAGGGCAAGCCTGGATTTTCTAGGTCACACTGAAGTAGTTTTTGTAGCATTGTAGCCTGTTGTTGAGTGACTCAATTATTCATGATTGGATTTTCTTACAGCTAGGTACAGTTACAGTATATAATTTCTATCCTGAATCCTCCAGTGGAGATAGCAGCTCTCTCTTTGTAGAGGTTTTACAGGATAGTCAATCATCAGTTAAGTTTTACATGCTGTAGGAAGCTTTGTCAGGCAGTGTAAAACCAAGAAAAGACTGAGATTTTAAAGGAGCATCATGAAACTGCAGTTAAAGTGTACAGTACAAATAGAAAATCTTATTACACTTACCATATGCAGGAATTTTTCTGCACAATGCTGAATACAGCAAGATAGTTAATGTTTCTGATCAAATGCCATATCATATGTTCAACCCAATACATTACTTCTTGTATCAAAACTTGTCATCTCAGACATGAAATACAGTAATCTCCAGGCTCTCTTCATTTATGTAGTAATTCAATGAAGAATGGTGTTACAGTATCTATTTTGCACATAGTGACAAAATACAGTTATATGATGTAATGTGTAAATGGAAGAGATCATAAGTTTTAATATTGGAGAAGCTTTTGGGTTCAATGACTTCATTATATTGAGCTATAAAATAATCTGTTTTACATTATTATCTCAGCTTCTGCTGAGAAATGGAAGGAGTTCAACTTTGCACTCATAACTTGGTTCATAGCTCTTTAACATAAATAAATGAACATTTTATTGATTAAATGAGGCTGATTTCATACCAGATCTAGAAAAAGGCAGTAGATCCATAACTGTAGCTTATTTTTATAGTTAACCTGCCTAGCTTTAATTTTGAATGAAGCTTTTTTCCTCCAGCCAAAATGTATAAGTAGGCTGAATTTCAGTATTAATTTGTCAGTGTTGTATGTCACTGTGCTGTGTTTTGTTTATTTTATTGAAAATACAGTCATTGAAATACTGCCTTGAGCCCTTGTTCTGAAAAGCAAATGCAGTGTATCAGAACCACAGTTGGTGTGAGCTTTGGACTTCTACCAGGGCTGAATCTGACTCTTACTCTGACTATAAGTGTACAGTCAGTTACAGATGTGTGTTATACTGTTTTATTGTGAGGAAAGCATAATCTCATTTTAGTTCATGATTTTTAATTACCTGAAGAGTAATGCATTTCTAGAAATACATGTTATTAGGCCATAAACATTACATGGGGAGGAAATATCAATGTAACAACAAAAAAACAATGTAGTTGTTACCTTATTACCTTTTCTTGTGTTTTCATTGAAATGCTTTAAAATCAAATATGTTCATGAATTTGTTAATTATGTGGTGTGTAATTCATCTCAAAGAAATTTATATATGTCAGTTTAAGCCAAAACAGTGTGGTTCTCTTACAGTATTTTTAGAACCCAGTTAATCTTGCAATAATGCAAAGGTAATATAACCCTGCTGTTCATAGTCTGGTTTTGCTTATAAAGATTAACTTGTATATTTGTGAATCATATTTAGAGTAACTAAATGGAAATGACAAGATTGTTGTATTTAGTGGCATTATGGTCAATGTCAGCACTGGCATCCTGTTGTTTTGGGGCTGCAGTGCAGGCATACATGTCTGTGTATCATGAGTCCTACTTCCTAAGTTAGTAAAAACAGTCAGCCTCCTTGCAGAGATGTAGGTTTTTTAAATTTTTTTGTTATTCTTGTTTTTCCCTGGGCCTTGATCTTGCAGTGGTGTCCACAGGGGCACAGTGGATGGCTTGGGGGAAAGCAATGAACCTTAATTGTGAGGTTCGGTCCATAATCCTGCACTGATCATGCAAAACTTCCATGAGTTTACTTATGATATCCGTGGGATAATTCTCTTGAATAAATGCATATGTTCTCCATGGCCAAAGGCCACATTACATATAACTTTTAGTGAAGCTCTCAGAGTCAGAGAAACCCCAAATTTTATTTTTCTCACGTTGCTGATTCCTATTTCATTATATTAGTATTTGTGTTTATGAATGCTTTGCCTTAAACAGAACACTTAGAATTTTCTGCTGCACACTTACGGACATAACTGACAAAGCCTATTTGTATTGTAAGGTGATTCTGCTTTATTTTTTCAGTTTCTTGACAGTACTAGTTATGATGTTAAAGCAGCAAGGCCTTCAGTGAGTCTGTGGTGATGAATTGCTTAAATGAACAATTGGTTTCTTGGGTCAGTTGCTTTGAGCTGGTGAGCATGTCATTGCTAGACGTAGGGAAAACTTCTTTAGAAAGACAAAATTTCTGTAATTTGGGAATGGCTGGGCCCATTCTTCATTTGCTTTCATAAAGAACTCACTTGTATGCTGAAGCCAAGAACTGAAAACCTCTTCAAAGGCTTTTTGTGATTGATGTGCTGCTAACAACTGGGAATTGAAGTGGGAGCTATATTTGGCTTGAGCTCCTCTGCTACTGTGCGCACTCCATTGCTTTTAACAATTTGTATACATGTGTCGTTCTGGATGGGTGTGTGATGTGCATATTCTCCTTAGCTCTGCATGTACATACTGAGGTTCAAGAAACATGTATGCAAAATTTGTTAAAAGCAAGGGACCTTTGGAAGTAGCAACACCTGAATATGTGTGTACGTGTGTTTACCTGGAAAAGAAACCAGCCCGAGGACCTGTGCAGTGGTTGGTGACCTCCCTGTATGACTCTTCCTACTTATGTGGTTACACATCCTCTTTGTTAACGTTGATTTTATTATGCATAGGCTAGAATGTTGTGGAAAAATACCTGCAAGCACAATTCGTCACCATTCCTCATGGCTTCACTTTGGGGTTTAGATCAGACACATCTAAACCCTTCTCTGTAGTTCCGTGCTCCACGTTCTCGTGACGGCCGCCCGCCAGACCTGCAGGTCTGGAACGTGACCGATGTGCATCGGGGTGTTGTTGCTGAGCTGCACCCAGTTTGGGACTGTTCCAAATGAGCTCTGTCATGCATTGTGTTAATGGCCATGGGGAAGGGGGGAGCTGCAGGCGGAGGTGGGGCTCGCACTGTCGCTGTTCCGCTGTTCCACGCGCAGCGCCATTCCCCGTCACCGTGAAACGCCTCTGCCGGTGGCGCTCACACGCATCCCCTTTGGATTGTGGCATTTTCTGTCTCGGGTTCAATGTGTGTTAATCCTGTGGGTGTTGCCATTCCTTCTACTTGCAGCTTCTCGACGTCATTCCAGGTCCACTAGTGCTCTCTCCACTGCTGATTCTGTTGGGCAGTCAGGTGAACAAGCGCTAACTGCATGAATCCGCTTCTTAATCGTAGTCTTGTTTTACACCATCTTAACATTTGCCATCGTGTGCGTCAGCCAGCACTTGGCATGTGCTTCTCACCGCTGCCGGGCTTTCTGTTCTGCTTTTGTTCAACGTGGCTTTTTGTTTTGAGTTTCATTTATTGGATGTTTTTAATTTTGTGCATTTTAGGAACATTGTGAACAGTGTTTAAACAAAGGGTGATCCAGGGCTTTCTCAATTCTCCTGTAAATTGGATCAGTTGTGCAGCATGGGCTAAATCCTGACTGATGCAGAGTACTTGCAGATTCTTTTCCCTCTTTAGCAGTGTAGCACTTTTCAGTGCCTAGGACAGGATCCCAATGGGTTTTATCCCATTTATAACAAATATTCTGGGCTCCTGTCTCTATTAATGAAAGTTCTTTGTGGGATCCCCTCCAGAATACACAAGAGCAGCAAAAATTAAGCACCTGATGAGCTTTCAGAATGAACTTCGGAGCATAACACATGCTGATCCATCCTTCATATAATTCTCAAGGCCTTGCCAAAGTACATGGGAGCTTTTGAAAGAAAAAAAATCCCTTAATTTCACTGGGTTTTGCATAATGTGACTGTTGGCTTCATGTAATGAGAAAAATCTGCAGATTCCAGTTACTTCTCTCCCACCCCTGTACTGGATTTGCAGTTATGGAGAACCTGTAATTCCTTTTAAATAAGGATATTTTACTGGGAATCTTAAAAATAATTGAATGAGGGCTGTTAGCTTCGGTACAACAGAGACTTAATTGTGGGGACAAAGATAATGTAGAAGATGAGGGGTTCAATGTTTTCTTGGAGGCTAAAATCTTATAAGGAATTTGTTATAATGAAAGTTTTTTAATTAACACCCTTCAGATAGGGAGTGAAAAATACTCTGTTTCTCATGAGTCTAGTTAAATGGCTATCACTTAATTAAAACTCTCAAAACATTTCCCTTATCATGTTACTCAACAGAAGTGATGCAAGCTGATTTGAGTGGCATTTTTCAGATAGCAATTTAAATTTGTATTTAATAAAAATAATTAAAAATATTTAAAATAGCTCAGATGTAATACAGATTTAAGCTTTGTTTGCTTTTGACTTCCTGTAATAGTCACTTCATGTTTGGCTACTGTGGTTTGGTACAATGCATAATCAAATTCTGTATGGTTACCTGTGTGCTACAGAAGGCCAAAATAGTCTAAAAAATGGCAAAATAGGGTTAATAATGGTGGTTTCAAATTTTCACCAAGTTTGTAACAAATGTAATGAATGAATCTAGCCAGGGAGACGAGGGAATGTGGCCAGAGGATAATCTGCAGATTTCTTGCCCAGTAACCTTGGGCTTGGCTGTGCTGGTTATTACTGGAGCCAGGTGTGTTCCCAGCCCCACATCAGAGATACATTGAGGTCTCTCCTGTGGTCTTATTTCAGCACTCCAGGATGACAGCAGTGGCTTGGGGAGAAACCTGGAGTAACTTGGGTGTTGTAAATTCAAAAATCACTGAACAAAGTAGTTCAGAAGATTCCTCATAGCCATGGAGATAGAAGCCAGCATGCCACACTGTACTTAATTGTTAAAAAAGCTCAATTTTGTTTCTTTATGCTGGGTATTTAAACTGATCTACAATTGAATTACTTTGTCATTTTGTTCTTCATTTTAAAAAAAAACCCAACCAACTATCTTCCCTTTTCTAATGTAACACTAAATTTATTCAAAAACAAATGACAGTGGTATTTTTCATGCTATATAGTTTCAAAAGTTAAAGCCAAATTTTGATCTCAGTAACACTTGAGTAATGTAATTGGTTTGGATTTAAATATAAAACCAAGTCCAGAACTTACCTCAACAGTTACAGGCCTTGTACTGTACCAGATCTCATTTATACTTAGGAAAATCCTTGTCCTTTGTACAACTTTATAGTGTATATATCTCTCTAGTGGTGGCTTTAGTTTCAGTCAGACCTACTGCATTATCATCTCTGTGCTTCTGTTAAGTGTGCACAGACTTTTCCATTTTAGGAATAAAGCACTGTTTCATCTTCATATTTGAAATTATTCTTTGACCAAAGTGCATTAAAAAAGGGGATAGTAATAACACATACAACTTTTATTTCTTTGTGAAATGTCATGATTTGATTACTTTTTGGCAGTAGTTCTAAGAACTTTGTTTCTTTTTTTTTTTCCCCTTGTAATGTGTTTTGTAGAAAATGTGCCTTTGTTGTAAATCAGAAATGTCTTGTCTGGGTATGTAACTCTAAGAAACAACAAATTTTGATAGGTATCACTTCTGTTTGAAATAAATATTAGTTTGCAGGGTTTTTTTCTTTTCAAAATACTTTGGACTTTAAAAGTCTTCCCTATTTCCCCACAGTAGCTTAATCTCAAATAAAGCTTTGTAATTAGGACAGTAGAACTGGCCAGCTTCAATCTCTGATATAAATTATGCGTGTCAGTGTAAGCTAATCCCTAAAAGATATTTCAGTGCAGTAGGTTCATAAAAGAGAAAGCAATGAAATTTTTGGTATGCAGTGTTTTCCCAAAAAATCACATTAAGCTGCTGAATACCATGTTTGGCCTCAGTTTTGAGCAATTCCACAATATGGTTCAGCAGTTTGATAAGCAGTATTTTTCCACTGTTAAATTAATTATAGATGAAGTATTAAAAGACCTGTGTGACTTGGCCCCACTCTCCTGCTGCTTGATGTGGATCAGCTGAAGGTCTCTCAAATGGGTTCCTGCAGCTTGATCCATGCACCACTGAATTTGCTGGCAAAACTCCTGTTGGCATGTGTGGTTACAGGGACAGAGGTGTAACATGTGTTCCAGGAGGGATAGTCTGAGTCCTGCATGAGCAAACAACAGCCCACACAGAAAGAAAAACTTGGAATGTCATAACCAATCTTTCTGCTTATGGAGCGGAGCCAGGGTCCCAGTATTTGGTACCTGATCTGCCCCCTCTAGAAGGACTCAGCTGCCTGAACCTGGCCTGTGATACTTAAGTTACTGATTCTGTCATAGCTCTGCTGGTGGACCTTTCTGAATTTGGCTTTGTGAAAAAAAACCTAATTTCAATAACTTTTTTGGGAAACTGGGCAAATGATAGTAAACTAATTAATGTTAGGAGTGTAAATGGCATTTTAGAGTCAAAGCCATTGCTTTGGATGCCATTTAGAGCTTTGCCATCAAATTCAAAGGGAAAAAAGATTATATTGTCTGCTCAAAACCAGTTTTGATATAGAGCTCTGGAATTTAAACTTTTCTCAAGAGAACCAGAAATTGGAGTCACTTCACAAGTGAGTTGTTAACTTAATTTTTATACTGTGAAGGAGTAGGGGTATATTCTACTGGTTAATCAAGCCTTGAGACATAAAATAGACTAATCTGATGCTGCTAGTCTCACATCCTTGCCTGAGAGAAAAGGCTGCAGGATAGATGAGTGCTTGAGTATTTACATGTTCTGACGCTGGGCATGGTTCTGTCTCTCTGAAGTTAATGAGAAACTCTCTTGATTTTTGAGAGTGCCAGATTGGGATGGGCCTGTCTGCCTCTGACATTAAAATAAACCTTTGAGACGACTGAGTAAAAAGAAACAGAAAATAGATACCCAGCTTCCCAGCTTAAAATAAATAAATGAAAAATTGCCCTGAGGATCCAAAATTGCCTCCAACGCCCAACAAGCAATAGTTTATTTCTTACCCTAGTGGCAGACTCTGTGGAGCTCTGGGTAAAAGGGCATTTAATGGAAAAGCACTGTGAGTTCCCAGAGTCCTTGGGGAGAACTACTGGGGCACCTGATTAGGATTCCAAATGGATGTGAATTCATTTAACAATCCCTTTCACTGTTGTCTTTTGTGCAGACCGGTTTGGGCTCGGACAGCCAGGCAGGATGCCTGCTTCTGTGAATGCCATGCGAGTCCTGAGCACCAGCACTGATCTGGAGGCTGCTGTGGCTGATGCACTGGTAAGAGGGAAAATACAAAATGCTTCCAACTCCGGAAAGTGGCTTAAAGTTACCTGTACGTATGTTCTCCTCTTTCTAAATAGCTTTATCCTGATCGTGCCAGTGTCTGATGCTATAGAGTTACCTTTTGCTGGTTTGACTTTGGGAATACTGGCAGCAGAATGTTTTTCTTGATTCTGTGTCACTTCTCTGCAGCTGTTGTCAGATAGTGCTGTGGGTTGGTGCTGCAGCTGCAGGATGGGTTGAATCAGCTGTTTGCCTTTCACTTGGCTGTCAGAGGATGACAGCACTCGTGGGGTCAGAGATTTCCATCAGTCCTATTACCTGCATGAAGATTTTGTCAGAAAAACAGCATTCTCTGTTAGTGTCAATTCCTGATCAGGTTTTAGCAAGAACAAGTTTCTGCCCTGTGTTATTTGCACCTGGGTAGATACACAGAGAGCTCATAGCTTGGCTTGCATGGAATCTGTACCATCTCATGCTGTTATGGTGTAAGTTGAATTGTATTTGTCTGGTTTGCTGCTAATACTTTCAAACATTCACTGCTTTTCCTAGTAAATTTTATGTCATTTTAAAAAATTATGTTCTCCTGTATAATCTTATTGTATCTAAGAGATACTATGGTATCTCTTGGATAGAACCCAGAAAGTGTCTTCTGCTTTTCAGAAGGCACATGATAAGCCTTTGTGTATGTACCTTGAATATTTAGGGGAGTGAGGATGTGTAGAGGCAGGAGAAATTACTGTACAGTGCTAGATGGGTATCCATTGGTCCTCTCCAGCTGTAGACCTGAAAGAGGGAAGGATTTCCTGATGTATCTTGAAACAAACCTCTCAGAATCTGTCTCAGATGCACTTTAAGGAAGATGAACCATGCTGCCAGTGTTTTTGGTAGATGGCCTTTGTCCATTTCCTAGTCCACTTTCCTCAAGGAGGGATAACATTTTCCTTTTTGTGTCTAATTATCACCCAGCTCATGGCACCTATTAGAGTACTTAGAGAAAAATGGCCCTTTTTACAAAATTTATCTTTTAAAACAAAGTATTTGTGAACAAAGGTAGAGCAGTGTATAATGGATGGGACTGTTGCATTTTGTGGGTTGAATCACTAGTGAGCATTTTCATCACCAAATGTAACAGCTTGTGAGCCCATTTCTGCTCTCAGCACCTCAAATTTGCTACCAGAGCAGTTCAGGACATAATTACAGACAGTGGTTTGCCTGTGTAAATGAAATCAGCCTTTATCCCTGCATGTGAGCAGCTGCTGAATACAGGTCTCTTAAGGGAGGAGAGTCTCACAGTATTTCAATTGACTGCTGAGCCCTGAGATTTCTTTGGGTGTGACTTAATCTTCAGCAAGACTTAGAGTGCTCTTTTTAATATTCCAGCTTTGATGTTAAGTAATATTAAACTGAAATGTTAAAATTTTGAAGGGCTGAACACTTTAAAAGGGAAATACTTAAGTCTAGCTGGAAACTAGCTGGTGCTGCTGACTTGGTTGATCAATCTGAATTTGTACAGCTTCAGGAGATGCAACACAATCTTGTTAATCCCTTCTTTCCTACCACCCCAGTTTTCTCTTCATTGCCTTCTGACAACAGGCAACTTACAAAGCCTGTGCAGGCTCCTTTTGAGAGAGTGTTGTGATGCCAGCTTTTACACAGTAACCTTGTTTTCAGAGAGTTGTCTTTTCCATGTAGTAAGAAATGAAAAGAGCTTCTCCAAAGATGGCTTCAGCCAAATCCTCAATTGAAACAAAACATGGTAGGTCATTCTGTGACCTCTACTCCCTCTGTACAATTGCAGTTGGATCCACTACTTCTGTTTGAGCTGGACTTGGCCTAAACCCACAGTGTCAATACTGGGAATCAGTGCTTGGGTCTGTCAGAAGAGCTCAAAGGGCGATGGAAACTTTGCTGTTAAGTAAGGCCTTTAAGCCAGTGGTGCCAACCAGGGGGTCTTAAAAGAAGCTAATCTTCAAAACAGTGTGGTGTAAGAACTGGGGGTTGAAAGAGAACTTGGCTAGTGAAGTTTATTAAGTGTGCTGTACTGTAGATAGCGACTTCTCACATCAGGATTTCTCTGCAAGACTCTAAAATGAAATGCTGCTAGTAATATGTGGGGAAAGATAAATCACTACCAAAATATCTGGCGTCTTTCATTGTAGATTTCCTAAAAGTAAGAAAAGAGGTGCTGAGTATAGGTCTGTTCCTAAAAAAGTTTTTAACAGATATTCTCACTTCCAAGATTCCTAAGGGAGATTGTAGCCAGTATGAGTAGTGCAACAGTTAGGAGATAAAGTCAGGCATTATTATACCCACTTTTATTTTGCAAAAACTGTATTTTTTTTTAATTTGCTAAGACACATTTGCTATACGTTTTTGTTGCAAAAACAAACCCTACATAAGCTTCTGACATAATTCTCTATGCTTTTTCCCACCCTTCAATATTTTCCTGCCTACAGCTGTTAGGAGACTCCAGGAGCAAGGTACTAGTGCTTTCTTGACTTTTTATTTCTACTTTCCAACTCTCCCCGCCCTGTTGCTAACGCCCATGATACTGCATGTGAGTTAATTTCTATGCTTCAGTCCTCCAGTCCTAGTGAAAGCAAAACTCTGCTGGCTTCACAAGTCCAAGACCTGCAGGACTGGACACTGGAAGGAATTCTGTAGCAAACACTTTAGAATATACATATTTATTTTTTCATACATTATCTTGTCAACCCTGTTCTTTTAAGGTTTTTTTAAGAGGTTTTTTTGCTGCCAATTATGCTACTATTTCTGTAAGGATCAAGGCAGTCAAAGATGTACCTAAGGGAATTAGATCCTCTAATGCCATGCTATGGAAATGAGTGGGATTTGAGTACTCAACTCCCTTAGTAGCCTCTGGAAAGAGTCCTAACCCAGACTAACAGAGAAATTGCCATATCCAGAGCATTTCTAGAGTCACTTCAGTATTGATATCAAAGAGACTGGGCATGTCAGCACAGATTCTTTTAGCTATTTCTTCCTTAATTTTTTTTAAAGTAGAGGTTGCATCGTCCTAGTATCTGCAACAATGGAACTAACCATTATTGCCAATAGAACATGTATTGTATTTAATTTCATTGCCAGTAACTTAATTCTACTGGGCATAAATACATCATTTTCATGCTGCGGTAGGCAGGCTCTCTTCCCCTGAGTCACTCAGTCTCACTGATATCAGTGGGCTCTGTCTTGCACTGCTGTGAGAGGTAAGCAGGCAATGCATGGTGACCTCTTTAAAACACTTCAGTCACTATCACAGTAGCACTAATCTCCTTTTTAGTGATTGCAAATAGAATGTTTTGCTTTTGGTATCGATGTAACTATAAATAAGTTGATAACTCTGAGTTTCCCCTTTTCCAGAAGAAGCCAGTGAGGAGGAGGTATGAGCCCTATGGGATGTACTCGGATGACGATGCCAACAGCGACGCCTCCAGCGCCTGCTCGGAGCGCTCCTACGGCTCCAGGAACGGGGGCATTCCGCACTACCTGCGCCAGACCGAGGACGTGGCTGAGGTCCTCAACCACTGTGCCAGCTCCAACTGGTCTGAAAGGAAAGAGGGGCTCATAGGCCTTCAGAATCTGCTGAAGAGCCAGCGGACACTGAGGTGACTTCATAGATTTCTGGTGTCAGTAATTCATTAGGGATGGCTACAGCCAGAAGGCAGTATTGTGTACCTGCCTTATGGAGGCAGGTAGTGTCTTCCATGGCTGTGAAGGCTTTGTCTCCACAATGTGGGATTGCAGTTAACTTTTGGAAAGGTTTCTGCGTTGTAATCAGTATAATTGGTGGCAGTAGTGTAGAAAGGGCTCAGGTAAGCACACTGTCTTCTCTCAGCCTTCATTTGTCTCACGAAGACCTCCAGTGATAGGTGTTGTTGTCGCACAGTGAGATTTCCCACAGTGGTGCTGTTGTAAACATACTCCAAGGGTTGTGCCATTTTTACATTAGCCTGTTTGAACCTTCAGTATTTTTCCCATGGCAATTTAGTTGGTGAAGCAAACATTGCACTTAATCTAAAATGACTTGGGGTGTGTGTTTCAAAGCTGAGATCAGACAGTGCTGGCACTGGCTGTACTCTGACTCTGTGAAGGCTGTGTTAGGTGGAATTATAGATCCTGTTTGTATTTCTTGAAAAATTTTATATCAGAAACTTGTATCTTATAAATGGCGTAGTGTGTACTGTAGAGGGAAGTTTCTTAGGGCTGTGGAGTATGTGTACCAGCTCTGAAACTGCATATCATAGGAGAGGGAGACCTTTTTCCCTTGCTGAGAACCACATAACCCCTTCCAACACCTTTGGCACATCACGCCTTTAAAGAGGTTTTAGAATTACCCAGTAGGTCTCAGAATTATCCAGTAGTCATTGGGAAACTCCCTGTGGCCACAGGCCACATTAACTGGACAACTGGCTCTCAGGCCATAGACATTTCACCCTTAGTTTATGGAGAAAGTGTTTGAAACAAGCTGTTTATCTCTTGGCTTCTTTGAAGGTAACATTCACAAATAGTTGTGAATGACAATTTTATTTTTCTGCTATGAATCATGTGTACTTAAGTTATAGCCAAGTTTATAAGTAGTTGTTTAGAGCCTCCCTACTTGGGTTTGTGCAATTGTTTCTATTTTAAAAGGGCTTCACACTGGCTGAAAAGAGTTTGATGGTTCATGTTAACAGTCCAAATAAAAGTGTGCTGAGGGCTGGCCTGAAAAAGTTCGTTTCTTGCCATTATAAAAATATTCTAGCACTTCATGTGATGTAATTCAGGCCTTAAATGGGAAGTGCTACAAGTTTTTAAAATGGATAGCTAGTCTCTAGATCAGAGATGCTTTTTGATGTGGTCTATTTCTGAGTCTCTTAAAAGATACTTCCATCATGTATGCTGTCTTTTTTCTTTCTCTTTAAAAAAAGAGAAAAACTGTCTGGAAAAACTGTGGCACCTCATTACTTTTATGAAAAAGTTGGGTGAGATTTTATTTTGCCACAAAAGTGTGTAAGGATTGTAAGCAAGGTTTGGAGTGCTGCTGGGGATAGTTGCAAGGGAGGAAGCTCTGAGAAGTTTTGGTGATGGGCTGTTTATCCAGGTCAGTAGATCTTTGCAGAAATACTGGTGGAATTAAACTCTTGATTTCAGCCCTGCTGGTTGTAGTTTTTGAACTGTGCTGTCACCAGTCCCTCAAGCTAGCAAGTTGTCTTAGCTTTGATCCTGAATAATTATTAAATCTGTCCCAGAAACTACACCTCTGTGCAGTTATTTTTTAAATTTGATACTGTGATTAGTTCTCTGTATTCCATTTTGGTTTTCTTTTGATCTGCTTCCTCCTTGGTTCAGAGTTGATCTGGTGCCTGTTCTAATGATTAGATTTTATCATCCTGCTTGTTCCCACGGCATCTTGAGAACATCATCAAGGTCATTAGTCCAAAGGGCAAGTCTGTCTTGTAATTAAACCTGATGCCTTCTGTTGTGGTGAAACATGTTAATAAGAGGTGATGATGTGGTTGGGTTTTCTTTAGTATTCTGAACTGAAAGATGGCTGATCCTGTGTTAGCTGGGATTTGCATAGCCAGAGATGTGCATGCAAAGTGGAATGGCACTTACCCATCCTCTTTTTTTTATAGAGCTTTATGTGGCCTACTTTTTTAAGGGCTCCCCATAAGGTCTTCTAAATAAAACAAGGCAAACGAGTCCCTTAAGGAAATGTTCTTCCACTGCCTGTTGCAGTTTAGTGCTTGCATTGTTACCTTGGGTCTGTGAGCTTTTAGAAACAGACATGCATGTACTTGCTGACTTTATATAACCTTTGTCCAGAAAGAAAATTCATTAGAGTAATAAACAGGGGTTCATTCAGAGTCCTGCAATCTGCATGATGTCAGGAGAGTGCTGTAGTCATTTTGAGCCTGTGCAGCCTCACCCTGAATTAAGCTGACAGCTTACTGTGATGTTGTTACAAAGACTTTTCCCTCTCTACCAGACTCTTAAACCCATTGGTTTTGTGCCCTTTTAAAATTTAATCAGCCTTTCATGCATAGATTTATTGGGGGAAAAAAAGTCCTGTGTTTCTTAGACGCAATCCAACATAAAGTATCCGTAGAGTACTCCCTTATTCTGGCCTGTTCAAAGATTATTTTTAGAAAGAGGGAAGTTGATGGATTGTAGAATTAATGTTGGTCTGGAAATACATTCCCTGTAGTCAAAATCTTCAGTAACTCTTCTCTGAGCAGTGAGTGTTCATTTCACTAGTAGCTCTGGTTTTATTGTAATGGTGAAAAATGTCTGTTCACATCCATAAGTATGCAGGAAATGTAACCTAACTGCCTTGCTCTGGTTTCATTTGCACCATAAACAAGAAGAGCTTCTGTCCTTTTTGCCAGTTTGCTTTGCAGGAAAGCTAAGACTTCTCAATACATTGCAGATAAGAGCTTTGGCACCAAAGAGTTCTGCATTTGACTCCAACTCAGTATCTCATGCATCATTTTTTTCCCCCCTGCCATAAAAAGAGCACTACTGAGTAGCTAATAATCTCTTACAAGTAGGAAGTTAGATTGTTCCTTGATGTAATTATCTTCTGATTTAATAGTTGGCCATTTGTTAATGTCTCTTCCATTTCTATATGTTTGGCTCCTCAATGTGTCTGCTGTCAGACTTTGGATTCAATTCTGATCTGTTAATAATGTGTGATTCTAGACTGATACTACTGAAGCAACTGGGAATTTAACCCAAAAGATATGATTAGTATATAACCAGAAAGCTCTGATTTTACTTGAAAATTTGAAATCCTTGACACAAAGGAGACTTGAAAAACCTATGTTTAGGGTGACAAAAATGCACAATTCAATGATTCAGCAACCTTGACCCAGACAGAAACTGAGTGCATCGCAAACATGCACATTTTAAGTTATCTTCTGTAATTCAGAATATAAAAGAAAATAAAACCAGCAGAAAATAAAATTGTCTGGTTTAAGATTTAAAAAAATAACTGTTTCTTAGATTCTTAATGTAAAAATTATGATCCCAGCAGTTAAACTGAAGTGCCAGTAAAGGCTTTGCCTAGATATACCAAGTTTTCAGAAGTGTGACCGAAGTAACATTTAAAGAAAGAAGGTTAGATCTTTTAGCTGTTAATATTTATTAGCTGCTTTTTATTTTCTTTGCTGCAACTAAAACGTTGGCATTAATGTTGTGTTTTATTTATGTATTTTAGCCGAGTGGAGTTAAAAAGGCTGTGTGAAATATTTACTCGCATGTTTGCTGACCCTCACAGCAAGGTAAGATCACAAAACCTTGGCTTGCTCTCCTACAATACTGTGTGTGCACATTTGGCACTGTTCCAAGATGAGTGGTTTGTATTTCTACCCCTGCCATCTGCTGGGGAAAACCGGCATTTAAAATTTTCCTTGGTTTGCATTTGTTTTACAAAGAGGGGGTGTGTCTCAGTCTCTTTTATGTTGCTAGGAGCTGGTTACTCCATGCTGCCTGAGGAGCAGCCTGGTGCCTTTCAGAGGTCGCCTCCTGGAGCCAGGAGTTCAGTTGCATTTGCACTTCTCTAGGGTGTATTTCTGGTGAGACACAGGGAAGAGTGGTCCTTGAGGGATCGTCAGCCACATCACAGCCGCTGTGTTTGTGTGTTGTGAACACCTGGGAGCAGGTGTCTCACCAAGATACTATTTTGATTCTCATAATCAAGGTCTTTAATACAGCTACTTTGCCTTCCTTAAATCACTGACCTTGGAAGTTAAAGGCTGTGGCATGAATTTACAGACATTTTTTAAGAAGTGGGCCACAGAATGGGGATGTAGCACCCATAGTCATGTTCAAGACTAGTGGATTTCTATGGACAGCTAAGGAGGAGCAGGGAGAAAGGAAAAGGGAATTTCATGCCCTTTTTTGAGTTTTGAGCTAGTTGAGGAAAACCAGTATGGCTGTGTAAAAACATCAGCAGCTGGGTTACAGGCAATTTGAGAAAGAATAAGTTGTATAAATCTTTGTACTTCAAGACCTCTTGGCAAACCAGTTTTAATAAATGATTGTTGAGTGGAAATTCCATGGGCAGGCAGAGTAGCCTGTCACAGGTCCTGCTCAAAATGTGCATTTTTGGCCTTAATTCTGCTGTGGGCCAGCTGTCCCACAGGTGTCACCAAGCTTGTAGTACCTACCTGTAAGTTCTTAATGCTTTGCTTCCCCAAGGTTTGTGTAGTAGAAGGGGCAAAGGTGTAATTATTTGTTTGCAAAATAATTCCAGTTTCTGAGTAAGGTGGAAGTTTATTGCACACTGGGCTCAAGTATATCCTTTATGGCAGCAGTGATCTGTCATCTTCACTGCTTTGGTAGAATTACTGATACAAACTCATTAGTTAAGGTGTTAAACACATTAACTTTGTTCATATAACTGCATATAAACATATGTTACTTTCTTGACTGATGAGACTGAATCTGATCCAAGGTATATAATAAGAGATTGTGTTTTAAGACAATGTAAACTTTGAATGACTGTGTCTTTTATCTGTTGAGAAACTGCATCCTTGATCACTCTGTGTGCTAACGAGTGGTTTGTTTTGTTGCATGGCCTGCTTTGCCGTGGAATTCCCAACAGAGAGTAAGTGTTTCCTACCCCTTCCTTCCTTCATTTGTTACATGTGGTATTTTAATACAACACATTTTAGACATGTCTTGTCTGATTTTTTTCCCAGAGCAATGTAGTCACTAAAATCATTCATTCATGAAACTCTTATAACAAAATCATCCTGAAACTCAGACTGTAAACCCCCTTCCCCTTTGAATATTTTTATTTTAAGAACTGCATTTCTTTTTCTGACACTTGTTTTGTTTATAGGTCTTCAGCATGTTTCTGGAAACCCTGGTTGATTTCATCATCATTCATAAAGACGACTTGCAGGATTGGCTTTTTGTTCTCCTGACCCAGTTGCTAAAGAAAATGGGAGCAGATTTGTTGGGGTCTGTGCAGGCAAAGGTTCAAAAAGCTCTGGATGTCACCAGGTACAGTACTCAGATGGCAAATGTTGCTGAGGTTTTTTGGGATTACAGGAGGGTGTGATTTTAAAAATCCAGCAGTGCTGTGTATTTTGAGGGCTCAATCTTGATGAATATCAGAATAAAGGAGAAAAAAAGTTATGTCACAGTGTTTCAAGTATTGAATTAAAAAGTCTCTCTTCTAAATAAATAACTTTAAAGCATAAATTTCAAAACATATAATGGATTAATTTTAGGGGTTTGTGGGGTGTATGCTCAGATATCAGGTTTTTTTGATCGTCAGGCACCCCAAAAAAAAATGCAGTATTCAGAATATGAATGGTGCTTTACCACAAAGTTCAGCATCTCTTTCATGTTGTTCAAACACAAATAACAGGTCAGGATAAGATCTTGAATACTAATGCAGTGCTCACACCAATTCTGTACCCCATGTCCTTTGCAAAGGATGTCCAGCCCAGGACACTATTACAGTAAAGTTGAGCTCATTCTAGAAATAGGATAGTTAAAAAGAAAAGAAAAAGTAGTCATAATCTAGGAGAAAATAGTGGGGAAAAAAGAGAAGACAGATCAAAACCAGGTATGAACCCTAAGGACAAGATAAACCAAGCTGCTTCTAGAGATAAGGGAACAAAGCAGAGTCTGAAATGAAACGGACAGGCATGCCAACAGAAGTGTACAGACAGTAGAGCAACAGTGTGCAAAGATGCTGATTTAGCAGTTTGCTCCAGTATTGTGTCAATAACTAGCTAATCCTTAAACTTAGAGGTTTTCTTATTGATGGTAAAGTTACCAAGAAGATAAGTGTGTTGAAATCTCCAATGTAAGCTTTGAGGTATTAGTTAATTTCATTAATGTTGCATTACATCTTTGCTTTTGTTTCCTTTGGACAGGGATTCTTTTCCATTTGATCAGCAATTTAACATTTTGATGAGGTTTATTGTAGATCAGACCCAGACACCAAACCTGAAGGTCAGTATCAAAAGCCATTTCACTAAAGCATCAATGTGTTTGTCTTAGCTTGTCATGTCAAGCATGCCATAAAGCATAGAACTCATGAGAAGGCAATTATGGTATTATGGGCATGATATAGAGACTGAATTGGCAACTTGGAGACACGTGCCAGGAATGCTTCCTCCTCACCATGTGATGCAAGTCTTGTCTTGTCAATCTGTAGTGGGATCTGTTCCTATGGAAAAAATGCATCTTTGCCAGCTCCTGAGCTTCACAAATCCCTTTGCATTTCTCAGGTCAAAGTTGCTATCCTGAAGTACATTGAGTCCTTGGCAAGACAGATGGATCCAACAGACTTTGTGAATTCCAGTGAGACAAGACTTGCTGTATCTAGAATTATTACTTGGACTACAGAACCAAAGAGCTCAGATGTGAGAAAGGTAAGCCAGGATGATGAAGTAATTGTAGGGATTGTTGCTCTTCAGGAAGGAGAAAAAAACTAAACAAACCTGTCATAAAGGTAATGAAAAATTCAGTAATCATATTCAAACTTTAAAAAGCCCTGATTTTACACACCTTACTGTCCAAACAAAACTGTCAATTCAGTCCACACACAATTCCAAAGCATGTCTTTATATATTTTTTTACTTGTGTGACTTTAACTACTATTACCATACAAAAAGAGATCATGGTTTGAAAATGTGCTTTTTCTTGAGCATTCTGGAAATATCTTTAGGTTTGTGTTTTGTTTAGGTGAAGGCTTTGTGCTTTGTAGACTGGAAGCTAGCACAACTTCAGTGTTATAATGTTGTTAAAAGAAAGTAAACAAATCAGTAAGCTGCCAGGGGCTCTCAGCCCTTCTCTTTTAAGTGCTGTGTGTTTATCTCTACCTGGAAAAAACTGACACAATTAGGTCAGGCCTGGGTAATAGTTACCTTGTTCTTTATCTTCTCTCCATGCAAGTGTCAGGCAAGCTAAAATGGGACAGCTAGTGATACTCATCTCTCCCAAGAGAAAAGCAAGAGTTAGTTTTATGGAGCTGGCATCTGTAACACAATTTAAAATTACCTTCTATTTCCAGTAGGAGTTAAAGGCTTTGAGATGAACTTAGATTTAAAAATCCCAGCCAAATTTTATTAACTCCAAAATGTAAAAAATGTATGAGAACTTTACATTATAGGCACATATAATGTTGACTTAATACTAGAATAGCATGCAATTTTGTAACTTTGGAAATAATAAAATTACTTTTATTTGATTCTGATTAAAAGAATCTGCTGGGTATCAAATGTGCTGCCACACACATGTGTGCAGCATTATCCAGCAGCTGAAGGAAGGCTTCAAAGAAGCTGTTTGGGCATGTGCTGTTTGCTTGCTCACATGCAGATGATTGGTTCTGGGGGAAAAAGGAATAACCTCTTTTCTGAAGACTTCCAGTAGGGATTATTCACAGCACTGTAACTGAAACTTGCTTCTGTAAGACAGTCTCCCTCAGGAAAAAAGGGATACTTTAAATTCTGGACTTACATCTGGAATATGGATTTGCATTTTAATATTTCCATGTCCAAAGTCAGAAAGAATTGATCAGGCAAAGCAGCTGCTTCTGTGTTACAGTTTAGGTGAATCTCAATCAGTTTATTTGGCTGCTGGGCTCTCAGGGGAACTTGTAATTATTTTACGTGGAAATATGCATTGAAAAGCAAAATCTCTTCATATTGCTCAGCAGGAGAAACATTCCACCATTAGGGGTCATCATTGCTGCGTGCAAAGGGAAGCAGAGAGTATCTGCTGCAGCTGGAAAATTGGGTGTTTGCTGTTCCCTGTGGGCTGGGGGGGACAGGTGCTCACTGTGTGGTGTCCATCCTTCTGTCTGTTCCAATGGCTTGCACAGCTCTGGCAAAACTTGCAGCAAACTCAACCTGAGTAGTACTGGGGCAAGTGCCTGGGGCTGGCAAGAGATTACTGAATCAAAATTGTTTTTATTAAACCTGCATGTGACTTGGATTTGCCTTTGGTGCCAGTAGTTTCCAAATAAATCATTACACAGTTAAGCTAATTTAGGCTACTAAAAACAAATGCACAGGTGATCTTTATTTCATCATATCATTGCTGTACTATGATTTTATTAAGAACATAGTACAAAGCAGAGGCTTTAGAAGAAACAGTGCAGCTAAGGATTTATAAACAATCATTGGCCATTATCTCTGTCAGGACTGTAGTTAACAGACTTATAAATTTATTATGCAATAGTGAATTGTATTATCAAGAGCCAATCTAGGTAGGTGAAATGTTCTGAAGAACACAATTAAATATTGCCATGTTTTTTCCTGGCAATATAACTTGGGGATGGGGGGGAAGTGGTACTAGTACCATTTTAGTATCAGGGTGATTCATTTAAGCATCAGAAGATTCTGCCCTTGTGGAAGGTGTTATGGTGGCCTTCAAGATCTGTGGTTTTCTAAATGCAAAGCAGACCACGCCCTGTAAATACTGAGAATGGAGACAGCAGTGGAGATTGTTGGGGAGAAAAATCAGTTTTGTCTTCGGGTGATTGAAGTGCCACAAGAAGTCTGTAAAAAGTGTCAAAATAGTTTTTCAATAGAATCTGGTGTTAAGACTGTCAGTGCAATGAGCTCAGCTCCTGCAGGTGACAAGAGTGCACAACATTTGTGGCATGGAGAGCTCCTGGGTGGTGCAATCCAGTTTCCAGCTGTGGCTGCCTTGGTGGAGCAGTGATGCTGCTGCTCAGCTGCTTGTGGAGGCAGGGACACTTTTCCCCCAAGAAATGGAGTTCCACAGCCAATATCCTCTTCACCCTGAGGAAGTTTGAGTTACTGAATTCTACCACAATGCCAGTAATATCTGTGTGTGGTGGCCATGCTGCTCTGCCTGGGGTTTACCTGGGCGCAGAGGCAGGTAAAGCAAACTTCTTTAGACTGGTGGTGTGTGCCAGTGAGGAAGGCATGTGGCTGCTGTGTGCACCTGGCAATTAGTCATGCAAATCTGATCCTGTAATAGCAATCAAGGCATCTGTTCAAGAACAGAACTGATTAGATTTTCAGTCTATGCTGAGATTATCCTTTTGTTAGTGATAGTCTGTCCATTACTACTACTCACTATGTGTGATGGTCATGGAGGTCCCAGCCACATAGTGTTAAGGCACTGGGGAAAAACAGAACAAAAAATGTAGTTTAGCCCAAAAACCTTTTCAAACTGAATGCTACAGTGTTTGTGTTTTCTTGTGACAACCCTTAAACACACTTAATGAGCACACTTAGCCAATCCGACACAACTTGAACTACAGCTCATGTTTTGTAGCTAGTGAGATAAGAAAAAGTCAAAAGAAATGCTGATTTGCATAAAGCAGTTTATGGTCCTGTATGAAATGACATCTGTAGTTAAAACATAAGGTCTGTTATCACAGGGAGGACATGATGTACTATGAGGAACATGCAATTGATACTAAAGTGTGCATTGACAAAATGTTGTGATTCACTCTCAGGGCAGAAACCATTTAAACTGCTGACAGTAGCCATGAGCTATGTGCAGTTAAAATTATTGTCAAGCTTTAAGATTAAAATAAGGTCATCTGCAGTGTGTTATGAGTAAATATTTGTCTTGTTTTAAAGTACTTGTGGGTGTTTACCCTGCATTCAGCTTAAGGTTCACTTCCTGCAAGCAGTGCTGGAAGAAAGGTGAGGACATTTTCCTTCCAAGCTGAACAGCAGCCACAGGGCAGGAGCAGGTCCTGCAGTGCCATGTGGAGACCTGGATGGGATGTGCTTCCAGCGTGAGGAGAGCACCTGTTGGTGATTCCTGCACATGCAGCCACCTCGTGGCTTTTTCCTCAAGCAGAGCTTATCAGTGGGCAGGGCACAGATCAGGATTTCAGATAACTGAGCTGTAATTCCGACTGCAGTAGCATCTAACCCTGTATGAGATACTTGGCTTTCCTTTGCACTGATTTGTTTCCTGCTGTAGCAGGATGTTAATTCTGATTTTCCTCTGAAAATTGTTTAAGATTTGATGAAATAATTTTACAAAAGGCAGTTAATTACCACACAGAAAGGTAACACAATGGCAATGCCAGTACTTGATGATTGGTTTGTGAGGACATTGTAAGTCAGTAACTTCACCATTCCATTAGTGATACTGCCAGAAAAGTTATGCAATCCTTACGTAGGTAAAGTGCTGATTGAATTTGGATGACAGGCATGGGCTCTGTGTGGGAAAATACTTTGATCCTGGAAAAGAGCCATCAGTTTGAGAATGGAAATTAACATAAGGCTTCTCATTTGACTTTGGCCAAAGCCTACAGAAACCTCGTGTCCAAGGCTTGTCTGAATGGAAACTTTTGTTTAAGGTGAGTGCCCAGAATTTGTGGGTGTGGAATCAGCTGTGAGGGCATGCAGGATCTTAGGGTTTAGGAGAAGTTTGTACAGGCTGAAGGGGAATGAGGCCTCCTGAGGTGAAGGGCCAGTGACAATTCTTACCATCTTGTTAATCAGCCCAGCTCTGGTCTTAATGATAAATAACAAGATCTGTATTGCTTGATCGGTATTTGGACTGCTGATCTCAGGGCAGAAGAAATTTTTTCCTTTGCTCCAAATATCCTGACTGGCTTCTCTGTTGCTGAAACATTCCTATGGTGGTTTTATTTTACAAGCCTGAAGGCATTTTTACATGTTATGGGCAGCCTTGTGTCACGTGTACATCACGTCCTGCCTTCCACTTATGTAACTGGGAAAACTTTTTCTTTCAACTGCCCCACTTGTCACTGCAAGCTGCCCTTGAATACAGGCAGTTGGATGGGTTTTGGTAAGAAAATCCAAGTTCATTGCACTGAATCAAAAAGCCCAAGAGAGTGCTTGTGTTGCTCTAATTTTCATGAAGATGAAGCCCTCCTGAGAGTACCTTGAGAAAGGCCCTCCTTGGATTGCTACCACTGGTTTGCAGGTGAAGTTGAGGAATATCCTAAGAAAATGAGTTTGGGATCAGATTTTTTCACTAAAATTGATTGAGGAACAGTTTCTGAATTATGAAGAAGATGAGGAAGATAATAGAGAGAAAACTGCAGGCCAAGAGGCACTTCACATGTTGAAGCAGTCAATGAAGATGTATTTACTTCTTTAACTAGTAATCCTCAAGGTCATTTCTTTAGAAATATTGATATTGTAACTTTGATTAGCAAAACCTATCTATCAGTGAAGCCTAGCTTGAGCAACTTTAGAGAAAATATTTCTGTGATATCTGTAGGAGGACCAGTGACAGGAAAGTAAACAACTTTTAAGGGAAGGAAATTAGGCTCCTTTGCATGGTGATGCCATGAGACCTTTAAAATATCTTGTAAGTTTATAATCATCCATCTAGCATGGGTCTGATTTCAGCTGCTCTGGGACAGAGAGCAGTGACACAGTGAACATGTTGGTCTGTACTGTTA